CTGGGGGTCAGGGATGTTACAATGCGACTGGCAAGAGTTGCGAGTACTCCAAAATACACCCCAAATATGCCGAAACTTTGCTTCCTCACCATATTCAAAGTGCATTTCAGGTCACAGGAAAGCTGCGAAACATTGCAATACCAGCAATCTTTCAGAAACCTTCTGTCAGCACGTTTTCCAATACGGGAAGCAAATCAAAGTCGGTCGCATTGTAACACCCCTGACCCCCAGCTCCGCTGGGGGAGGGATGCTTCTAAACCTGACGAGTACCTGGTCCCTTCCCTTCTAACAAATATCCAAAATAACCAAATTGACCGAAACGATGATGACGCGAACAAATATGCAAAATGTACACTCCTCTTCCCCCCCTCTCGAACCTTCTTCCCTCTCGAACCTTCTTCCCTCTCGAACCTTCTTCCACGTCCTTCTCCAAAGCAAGTGCCAAATAAGTTTATACATGAAGCGAAAACCAAGTTCAAATGCACCATCGCACCACCCTTCCTTCTATCCCACAATCTACAGTGCATTACACCAATTTCCCCCACTCACTAAATCATCCCAGTCCCAAACCCATCCACCAACGTGGGGTTCGGCACAGGCGGCCGTTCCGGCGCCCTCTGCTTCGGCTGCTTAACGCTCAACCCCCTCGCCACACCAATCCCCAAAACCCTGGCCACTTCCTCGGGGTCTTCATCCGCACCGCCAAGCAGGGGCGTCTGTGCCCTACTCGGTGCCCTGGGCGGATGTTGGCCAAAGATGGGCGTCATGGGCGGTGGTCTATGCGCGCCCAACGCCGTTGAGGGTCTTGTTCCTATGCCTCCTGCGCCTGTGCCGTCTTCGTAGAGTCCATCGAAGGTGCCGTCGATCGCGGGCGGAGTGGTGGTGCTGCGGGAGTCAACGTCGGGGCTAAAGTTGAAGTTGAGCGGCGCAGGGATGTGCGGCCTGTTGAGGGTTGGGGAGCGGGGAGGAGCGGGCTTCAGGGGGGAGATGATGGCGGGACCAGGGCCGACCATTGAGTCTGGGGTTGAAGGGCCGGTGGTGGTGGTGACGGAGGGAGCGGATGTCGGGCCGCCGAAGGTGGAGCTAGGGCTGAGGTTCTGGCTCGGGACGGAAGGGGTCAGTTGAGGGCCGAAGTCAAAGTTAAAGCCGGCATTGGCGAGCGGACTGGCGGCTGGTCGGTATGGCTCGGGGTCGGGAGTCAGAGCCGGGGTTGGCGGGTTGTGTCGCGCAGGAGGATGCCAGAGTTGTGGTGTGTTGGAACGCTGGGGCGAGTTGAAGGTGCTGCTGTCGGCGGTGCCCGGGTACGGAGAGCTCATGTTGCCGCCGGTTGTGGATGCCGTGTCTGATCGTCCTGGGCGGGAAACGGGTGTCGATCGGCCGCTGAACAAGCTGTACTCTTCGAGAGCAGGGCGGCGAGTTCTGAATGCTGCAGCTGGTGGTCCTCCTCGCCTCGGGGTTGGCATTCCATAGCCGCTACCGCCCGCACTGCTGAATGACCCTGGATGGTCACTGATGATGGGCGTTTCGGGATCGTCCTTGGCAATCGGAGTTGGCGGGTCTTCTGCTGTCGGCGATTCGAAAAACATGTCGGCGATCATCGGGTTCGTGTTGCTGGTCTTTGTGGGAGTACGCAGCGGCGCTGGCTGGATCGATGACAGAATCGGCTCGTCGTCGTCTTCATCTTCCGACAAATGTAACTGGCTATAAATGCTGCTGGCAGAACTCAGGCTCTTGTCGTCAAAGCTGCGTTGCTGATCGTCAAGGCTTCGACCTTTCTGGGCACCGATGAGGCTCCGTTCCAGTTCTTCAATCTTCATCGAGAGACTGTGTCTTCGAGGAGAAATAATGGTCAGTGTGTCACGTCTCGCTCCGAGGGTTTTGATAATCGGCCTGGAGAAAATTGAGTCATCGTCGTCGAGCAGGTGTTCAGTGATGGATTCCGGAGGCGATGGCGAGTTGCCCCTGGTTTCGGCCTCGGACACAGTCGTCGGCGACAAGACGGTATCCGGCATGGGAACAGTTTTCGGGCTTGCTTCTTCCTCTTGGCTACGTTTGACCGGGCTAGGAGTCTTCACAGCAGGACTTTGAGGACGGCTATCTGAACCAGGAATCTGGAGGCGTGGGAGATCCCCCAAAGTCGCATGTCCTTGCGGCAGAGGACCACGGGTGTCCATGCCTGGTTGTTGAGGAAGAGGCTTGTTCGGCGCAGTAAGGGGTGTAGGTCCACCGGGCTGCTGAGGAAGCGGCTTGTTTGGCGGAGGGAGCGGCTTGTTGTTAGGCGCAGAAAGTGGCGTAGGGCCAGCATGTGGAGGGCCCTGGGCCAGAGATCCCTGACGCGGAGGTCCTTGACGGGGAGATCCATGAGGGGGGGGGCCGCGAAGAAGTCCAGGACGCAGAGGTCCAGGAGGCCCATGATGGGGACCATGTGGGGGACCGTGAGGGCCAGGGTGAGGACCAGACTGGTGAGGCCCATGGGGAGGAGGCCCGCGTGGCGGTCCATGAGGAGGGGGGGTTCCACGATAAGGAGCGCCATGGGGAGATCCATGCTGAGGCGCTCCCTGATGAGGAGATCCTTGGCGGGGAGTGCCCTGGGGAGGAATGCCGTTGCGAGGGGGTCCTTGGCGTGGCGGTCCTCGGTTGGGTGTCCCCGGGTGAGGAGGGCCCTGATGCGGCATCGGTCCTCGGTAAGGCGGTCCTTGGCGCGGAGGCCCCGGGTGAGGCCCTTGGTGAGGTCCCGGATGGGGTCCGGGTCCACGGGGTCCTGGAGGTCCTGTGCGAGGTCCAGGGGGGTGTGGAAGACCATGTGTTGGTGGTCCATGACGAGGGGGACCATGGCCATGGGGTGGGAAAGGACGGGGCGGGCCGTTAGGACCATTCGGGCCATTGGGGCCGTTCATAGGCATGCCACCTCGGCTACCGGGTCTCTGATCAATGTTACCACGAAAGATTGGCGCGGGACCACCCGGTCCATCACGCATCCCACCTCGACTTCCAGGTCTTTCGTCAATGTTGCCTCGAAACACCGGTCCAGGGCCACCAGGTCCGCCATGCATTCCTCCTCGGCTACCTGGTCTTTCGTCGATGTTCCCTCTGCACACTGGGCCCGGCGGTCCATCCTGCATGCCGCCCCGGCTACTAGGTCTCTCGTCGATGTTCTTCAAAACCGGGCCTGGCCCATTGAGAGGGTCTAGCGGAGACATATAGTGAGGTCTTGCCAAAGGCTCAGTGGGCGACATCTCGTCCGAGATCTTTTCCTCCGCAACATTCCGCTCCAGAACCTCCTGGTCTTTTGAGATCGCTCCTAGCGCGTCCTCCGCATCCTCATCTGACTGAACCAGTCTCACGGTTGCCTCCACCTTCTCCTTTACCGGCGAGTGAATAACGTTGGCGTCCATGGGCGCTGGAAGATCTGTGGCAACCTGACTCAAAGGGGACCTGGGCGCAATAGGTGCGGTCGAGGCCTTCTTCATGGTGGGAATTTCGGGAAGATCAGAGTTGTCCCACGGTTTGCTCTTGGCGTTTGCTGTTTGGGGGCGCGGCGAGAGAGCCGGACCCGGGCCGTGTGCCAAGCTTGCCGAAGACCCATTCATGGAGCCGAACTTGGCCCGTAGGTTCATGTCCGATGCATAGTGTTTGATGTCGGAATGGCTGTCGATCCGCGGGTCGGCGAGGTTGGACATGCTCGAGGTGGCCTGGTTTTGGGCGCCGACGCCGTGCGCATAGGGAGCGGTTCCCGGCGGAGGAAGAATGGGGGATGCCGCTGCATCGGATCGGTTGCTTTCGTTGGTGACGGCCCTTCTCAGGGATGCCGATTTCTCGGAATCCGCATAGCTGTTGTCCCCCACTGCTGCTGCTCTTTCAAGCTTCCTGTTTGCACCATCAGTATCATTGTGGTCCATGGGGGTGCTCACTGGAATGGTGGCGTGGGATGGAAGATGCGTACCCCTTTTTCTTATCGCCGAACTTGATACCGAAGAGCGATACCATTTTGAAGGTAATAAACGAATGACTGGATCAACGAATGATTTGAAGGTTTACAAGAAACACATTACTGCACAAGATGAATTGATTAGAACCGACGACCGACCAGCCGGCAAAGAGGAAAAGCTTATCACCAACCCAGCTGTTGTGATGACAATGCAAGATCACCTATTCCTGGGCAGGTGAAGCACCAGGTGTGACGGAAAAGAAGGTTGTTGTTGATCAAGATAATTGTCTATAAAAGGCCCATGTCGACGGGGCTAAAAGAATTGTGTACGGTATAGTATTCAAGATGTTGAGGCCTGGCGACTTGGTCCCGGTTGTCGATGTTGCTGTCCTCTAGGGGCGCTGACTGAATATCCAAATGACTACTACGAGCGAGTGTCTTCAAGCTTCTCGGCGTCGTTACGCGATCCGGGCGCGGGAGTGTTGTAAAATGAACGTGATATGGTGTTGTGTTGTGTTGTTGTGTTGGGATGGTCGAATTGGAACAGCCAATTGGCGACGACAGAGTAAGGAAGATTAAAAGACAGAAGGAAAAAAAAAAGAGTGATCAGATACCCAAATGGGTAGCTTGCTTGTCTTTGGGTGTTGCTGTGTGAAAAGAGAGTGACAGGAGAGAAAGAACGGGCGATAAACAACGCGCAGGCTGCTATCCGTCAAACCACCAACAACCTTGCGGGCGACAGGGATGGGAAAGGGAAGCGGGAGACGAAGCAAAAAGAGGCAAAGAAATGAAAAGGAAGAAAAGAAGGCCGCTGTCCGCTTGTTTCGAGGCGTCGTGAGGCATTTGGGAAATGGGGCTCGTCGAATGAACGTCGCGTGGGTGGAGCTTCAGGATGGAGCGAGCCGATGGGGCCAAACAGGGGGGTGGGGGGCTGCTCGCTTTTTCCCCTAGCGTCTTTCTTTGCCCAGGGGTATTTATTCTGTACAGCTTCCATTTTACCAAACCATGGCCGTCATCCGGGCCCCGTCCGAGAATAGAATTGGGACCAAATCCAATGTCATCCAATAGTCCGTCGCGCCGGTTAGGGTACATACAAGTACGGTAGCAATCCGTCCGCTGGCACATCATGTCCATCTTGAACCTCTCCCGAAGCACTCCCGCTTTCCCTCCCGTCCACTCTATTAGGTACTATCATTTCCATCCTCGACGGTTTTGTACAGGGGCACGAGCTTTTGATGTCGCGCAGACAGAACCCCGCGTACGCAACCAGCCGAACATGTCGCAAACTGCAAGTATGTATAACCTCATACCCACGGGTACAACTTGATTGAATGAGATTGGGATGATAAGGCAGCATCATCCTCGACAAAAAGTCCGGGGGGCCGCTTCAATGAGCCAAGACTTTCCAGGGGGTCACTGGGGGTGTGTTTTAACGGCTTTCCTCTTTTTTCTCTTGTGCCTGAACGATCGTCAGGGGTACGCCAACGGAAATGACGTCCGCCCGGGCCGTCGACCGTTCGTCTGACAGGTGTCCATTGTCTTGTCTTCCATGTTCTGTTTCAATTCCTTCCAGAAGCCGTCTGTCAGAGTGTCAACAGCACATCGGTTGGGATAGGGTTGATCTCCTTCAGCTGGAGCGGGAATCTCGACGTCGCATGTGTAGTGTAAATGACCCTGGAACTAGTCTCCATCAGTGACATATTTCACCAATTTCATTTGATTGGGTTTCGAGAATCGTCGAGTTCCGTCATGTCAGTTAAAGTTGTGGTGGTTCAAGCTTCCCAAGTACGCGGTACACCGATCAACATGCGACGATTTCGGTAACTTGCCATTTCGCTTTGACATTCTTGTTTGACACCACGCGCACGTGGAAAGATGCTTTCACATCAGGCACACCCTCACTCCCCTTGCAGGGAGTGGCCGATTTGGTAGGTCGGCGCTCGGTCAGCGGGCGGGGGAAGCATGGCATGGCATGGCATGGCGTGAACCAAAAACCCAAACAACTGTGGTTTTCCGGACCCAAGGTGCCACTGGCCCAAGTTCTGGTCGGCAGTGGATCTCCCCCTTCTACGGCAAAGGCCATGTTCCTTCTTCACTTTCCTTGCTGAAAACAACAATACCATCAAACAGTTGCAATTTTCATCGCTAAACAAATTCGTCATTTTCAGCTTGGAAGCAATCAAGCGCACGAGTTTTGGGCCATGGAAAGGCCATTTCTTGGCCGAGTGTCCTGGTGGTGTTTTAGCGCAAAATCGGTGGCTGAGTTTGACTCTGAGAAGCGCCACAGAGAAGCGCCAATTGGGACGACAAAGCGGAGGCAGGACGAATTAGTTAATACGTACCCCAGAGCTGGATGCCAATGGCAAATTGACAAGACACCAAAAGAGTTTGTCACGCTTTGAGCGGCTATCGGGGCAGTAAATGGTCTTGAGAATGAAAGAAAAGAGTCAAAGTAGTGACAGTAATGAAAAACGCCTTGGTGTTTGCGGCGGTACTGTGGCTTTGTTGGTCTGGCCAAACTGCAGTCCACGCTAATTTGTCCTGGAAGAGTGTTGGGGGTAGTCGGAAATCCGGAGTTTGATTGACACAGTCTGCCTATGTTGCTGCATCGCTGGTTTCGAGACTTAGCTAGAGTCATGAAGGATCTTGGTAATGTTGTTGAGTTGGGGGTAGTCGGAAAATCAGAGTTTGACGCAATCTGTATGTTGCTGCATAGGTCGCTGCCTTCGAGACTCAGCCAGAGTTGGTGGGATCAGCTCAGAGTGTCGGACGGTTGATCTTGGTGATATTGCTTAGTGTAGCTAATATGCTCAGGTTTGTTTCTTCAGGCCTCGTAGATTTGGCTTGACATCGCCACCGTTTACCTTGGGTTCCGACTGGTAGGGGAAGGCCATGTCTCAAACTCCATTCTTGCCAGCGGCGCAGTACATCATGATCCTTAATGAGGACCTCAGCACCGTTCCAGCAAAGGCTCTGCCTACTCCTACCAGCTGCTGTTTGCCTTACACCTGAGACCACTGTATTCGTCTCCCCACCTTCTTCTTCGACTTTGGGGTGTTTTAGCTGCAGGTCTGGCACTCCTTGGGGTTTTTCTCTTTTTCACCAAGGCAATCGATACCATCAATCTTCCTCACTAGTCTTCACTACTCTCTCCCATCTCCTTGTTCGCCATGCCTTCGTCTTTCAAGCAAAGACCATCCTTATCTGCACCCCCTGACCCCTTCCACTCGTCCTTATTTTTCACATTCCTCCTCCCTGCCACAGAGACAGTCAAACAGGACCCGGCTGGATAGACCCCCAACAACCTCACCGCATTGCAGCGACTCACCATGGGTAGGTTCTTCAAGACATTGCTTATCTTATTGGTTTTATCGATAAAGATATGGCCATCAAGGTTCTCACAACCGGCCGCCTGGGCCTTTAGCAGGGTCTGATACCTAGCATGACGAGCCTACTTGGTCCGTCCATGTCATTCTGGTTCGAGGCAGGGGGCCCGCGGACCTGCTTCCACAGATGGGCATTGCTGAGCTCGACCTTGCCCTTCCAACCAACTTACCGTTGTGGTCAACACTCAGCAAGACCTCAATAAGCTGCGAGTTTCACAGATGCGGGAAAAACAAAGAAGACTCAGAGTGTTCGGGGGCCAACCACGTCATTTTATAACATGGCTTGATAATGGGATGGAATTTGACCTCGGACGGAAGAATGAACCAAAGACGCACAAAAATACTGCCACTCGACAAACCCTAACCATACTACAATCACCAACCCATTCTCTACCTCCACCCTCGCCCTACTTAGACGGTCTCGACGACGGGGGTTTCCTCGGCCGCTCCAACAGCCTCAGCCTCGCCATCTCCACCGGGCTCATCGTGTGCTTTTCGGGCAGTTCTGCCCACCCCAAACAGATGAGGAAGATGGCGATGCCCTGAATGGCGTGGGTGACGAGGGCGAGCGCGAGGGTGGTACGGTGGAGAGGGTCGGCACAACGCCAAAGGTTCGGCACAACGCCAAAGGTTCGGCACAACGCCAAAGGTTCGAGGTCTTGGTGCCAAAAAGCTTGGTGGTGGAGGTGATGTTGGCATCAAACGCGGCAATGACCGAGGAACAAAACGCCAGCTGGCTGTACAGCCCCATGATATTGCCAACAGGCGAATTGAACGCCCTCTTGCAAGGGAGTTGCGGTTCCGTCCGGTAGTTTTCCGCCCGTACCCCGTATCCGGAACCAATTGTGGCCCGATGAACCGACTGGTTATCGCGAAACACCCACCACTGCCCGTCGAATTCTGCCCGGTAGTCCGTGTTGAAGAGTTTCTGCCCGATTTCCGTGAACATCGGGAGGGCATCGTCGTTGGCCAGACGACGAAAAAAGAGGTGAGTGTGGGTGGAGGGAGGGAAGAGGAGGGGGGTCGGCTGGCTTGGCTCCGAAGGAAACAACGACAAAAAGGTGTCGTAGGTCAGTCTACCACCGTGAGCCGGAGCAAGCAACCCCAAACGAGGTAGTTCCCGGTGCGCCCGCTCGTCCAGGACAAATTAATGCGTACTCCAGAGCCCAATATTAAGGACAAATCGACAGGACACCGAAGAGTCTGTCAAGCTGTAAACGGCTTTTGGGACCTAGGAATGGCCTTGAGGACGAATGAGAAGAAGAAAAGTAATGAGACGAATGGAAACGGTCTTGGTACTTTCAGACGATGTCGTGGTCTTGGCAATCAGGCCGGGCTGCAGTCCACGTTAATTTATCCTGGACGAGACCCGGTATGTGCCTTGCGGACGCTGTTCACATGGATGGCGTGGCCGTCAAGGTCCCATTCGTCGGTAATGTTGATCATAAACAGGGGCAAGGCATCTTGCCCAAGGGACCCTCCAGAGAAGTCGTAAGCCTGGCCCATCGTCTGGTTGCATTGTCCGCCAGATGCGAGCCCCTAAGTCAACGTTAGCTGTTTATGGTCACAAGGTACGAAATAGCTTTTTTGGATGTGCTTGAACTTACGAGAGCGGAAACGATGCATTGGTCACAGATGTGACCGATGAAGACGGGATGATTGCTTCAATTCCCAACCATCTCCTTGCGGGCCGTTGTATTGGGGTGAGAGTACCGGAAGACAGAGCCATATATGTTCGGAGAGGTAATATCTGGCGTGATATGGATATTGGTAGTACCCTGGAAGGGTACCCCAACATCACCCGGATTAAGCGCATGACCCCAAAGGAGCGGGTAGGCCACATTGGCGCCGCTGAAGATCATCACTGGAATAGGCATTCAAAACATTAGCATTGTACCACCAATCCGAGCTCAAAAAGACACAACACAATATGTCAACAACGCAAACACTTACAAGCAGGCGAAAAGAGGCCCGTCAGCTTGAAAAGGGCGACCAAAGCCCCGAGGACGGTTGTCGTGCTTGCAGCGATGTATGGCAGGTCCGCCAACTACCTAGGAACAGTGGGTTTGTTCACGGCCACCAAAAAGATCCCTAGGTTGATGGCACAGCCTACAAAAAAGAGGCAATTGGTTAGCTTAAGTGCCTACCTCACTAGTGATTTCATGTAGCTGATGTTAATTGCGGACTCACAGAGCAGGACAGAGAGCAAGGGCAGCACCAATCCGGCCCAAGGCTAGCGGCGGACGGACTGCGGGACCCAAGAGGGCCAGGACAGCCGGGGGAGCGAGAACAACGGCCAGGCTAAAGACCAGTTGGTTGGCCAGAATTTTGGCATCGTGACAGGATGGAAGTTCGGATGAGAGTTGGGACGAAAGCGAGACGGAAGTTCGAGATGGGTGAGACGGAACGCGGTTGGACGATGGCAAAAACCAGACGACAGAACAAAAAAAGTCGGGACGGAAGCAGACAAAACAAAACGTCCAAGGGCGTGCTTTTGACCGGGCTCTCGTAGCTGAAGAAGAAGACAAAAAAAAAAACATGGGGGAGGCAGAAATGGGCTGAATTTAACAATTTCGAAAAGTCCTCCTCTCCTCCCTCTTCGACCCTCCCCTCTTCCAATCTTCCAGTACGTTTTTCATCTTTAGGACTTCCTTCCCCTTCCAACCGGTCTATTCTTTCTTGGAGGGACAGGTGGCTCCATCGGTTTGAAGGCGTTGCCCGTTCACTTGAACTGGAAAGGGGGCACACTGAGGTGGAAGGGAGGACTGGGTTCTTTCTTTGGTACCTCTGGCGATGAGGTTTTTTGTAGTGTAAAGAGGGAAAGTCCGCATACTCGTCAGGTCTACAAGGCAGCTGCGATACTGATCGGTTTGGGGAAATGCCGGGCCCGAGGACGGAGTCGGACAAGATGGGGGAGAACCTTGATGGCCATATCCCTTATCGCGATAAGGTTGATAAGATAAGGGGATGCTTTGAGGTTGCGCTGCAGCGGGAACTTGGGAAACAGCGAGTGCACCACTCGCCCAGCGGGTGCCTTCTACAATCGTCGCATTTACATCAAGACAACAACCAATAAAACAAGTGTCTCCGGTCCTCTGTCCTATGTTGCTTTGGTCCGGACTTGATATGGTAAATTTGGAGAGTAGGAAGAATTGCATACAGTCATGCAGTCTGTGAGTCGAAATGCAGATGGCGCTGCCTTATGCATGGTGAGAATAGAAGAAAACACCCAACATTTTCCAGATGGACAAATATATGACCAGTCTTCCTCCTTCCCTTCTTCTTTCCTTTCTCCACCACACTTCCATCATTCACGTCCCTGGAATTTCCAACTTCCATCAACCCTCTTCCCAACCGACACCGGTAAATCGCTATTTTCCCAATTCGTCACCATGAAAAAACTCATTCTCACCATTGCCACCGCCGTCGGCCTCATTACCGCCCAGGAGAGGTCATTGCCCCCGGAGTGGGAATGGCCTCCGGACTTGTCCCGGTACCACCTCTCCCACTGCGCCGAAGGAGCCATAGTGAATAGCGTGTTCTGGCTCAGCGGACTCGCAGACGAAAACCAGACGCTAGAGTATAACCGCTGCCTTTCTACCCCCGCAGAAGTTACCATCGCCGACTTCAAATGCTTCTGTGCCGGAGGCGATGGCGAAGGGTCAGCAATTATGAGCGAGGCCCTTCAAGTCGACTGGCTTAGGAGGCAATGTGGATGGGAGCATATTTTTGGTGGGTTTCCGTATGATCGCGGCATCTTCGTATCTTTGCAACCATTCTTCTCTACCATACGAAAACAAATTCATCAACACTAGCGTGACTCCCACCAAAACAGATGAGGTGTTCCCCGATGTAAGAAATTTCTGTCGCACGGTACTGAGCGAGGACACCACTGCCACTGCCACTGCCCCTACTCGTCGCCGCCGTCGGGCCCTGAAACAACCACCCCCTCAACCGAATATCGCCCTCGTTACTACAGAGGAACTGCCCGACACGTCCATCTAGGACCCATCACTACTACTACCCGTCGGAGCACTAGAACAGTCCTGTGGGCGGGTCAAATAAGCCTAGATTCAGGCCCTGGACTCCGACTGTCCTGATACCACCATTCCTCCTGTCTGCACAAATGGAAGATGGTTGGCAATGCAACAAGCTGCGACATATACGGCAACCACGAGGAGCTAGGTATAGAGGAGAGGACATGGATGATTTCGAGGCTAAGTAGGAAGCTGAGGACGAGGAGGAGCGCGAAGCTGAGGCAGAGGATGAAGAGTAGATGGAGGGGATTTGTCGTTAACCGACCATGTTATTGTCAGTACATTACCCATCCAAGCATCTTCAACATGCCTTCGAACGGAATCAACATACATCCTGTTAAGAGAACAACCCCTGATGTATTCTATCCAATGCATTGCTCACATTTTACGATCCCTATCGTGGTTTTTTCACGGTCTTCTGTAGCTAAAGCGAGCCTATTTATCATTGTTCGGTTCTTTTTACCACCGTTTCGTATACTTGGATTTTACCGATCGGATGGAAATTTGTTGGAAGAAAACGGAGGCTTGGTTAGGTGAGAGTTTGCTTGGACGAGAGTTTGATCAGACGAATTGAAGTGTGAAGGCTGAAAAGAGACAAAGAAAAAACATATGAGACCCGATTGGATTGAGATCAGAGGACAGGGGCCATCACCCACAGGGGAAGAGTAAGGAAGTAAGAGCCCAGGGTACGATCTCGTTCTGCGGAGTTCTTTCTATCCCAAAGGTCGAAACCAACCAGCACTCCACTTTGAGACGTGAGTGTCTTGAGGAAAGAAGAGAATGATGGGAACTCCATTCATTGAGCAAGCTTTCCCGCAGTTGGGGAAGGGACATTCATCACGATGGCTGTTCAGTTCTGACACCCCACACGAGGTCTTCAAACCGGGTCAGGCCCTTCATAACGCTGAAGATGCGTCATCAACCTCGTGGTATACTTCATGATGATGGAAAAAAAATGAAAAAAGGGACCACATGGGCAAAACTTTGACCTGGCCGTTCAAATCGGAGGAAAGCAATGTAGCGCAAGCAAAAGCCGTTACGGAAGGGATCCAATCGGGACCTACCTTACGAGATTAGCTGTGACGTATGTGATCTCTTGTCGCTCGACTTGAGGGGTGCGAGGAAAGAACAAACGATGGAAACATTTTCGACGGCAGGACCCAGTCGTACACTTGGGAAGGAAAGTGCTTTAGTGTTTGCCGTGTGGGGATTTCATCTGATCCGAATCCAAAACCAGTCGCACCGAGTTATCTCAGTCTCTTTTCGACTCTCCAACTTTAATCTGATCAAGCAAACCGACTCCCAAGCAATCTTTCCATCCGACCAAACTTTCAAGACAAACTTTCGTCCGACCCAAAAAAAAAAACCCCTAAATTTCTTCAACCATGGTGTCCTTGATGACCCGCCTCAGAGGCATTCGCATGACTCCCGTCGAAAAGATGTACGTGGAATCCCTGCCCCGCCTCGAGCGGTGGTTCCTCGTGCTCGCGCCCTAGGCACTCCTTGCGGCCTATCTCTGTAAGGCGTCTACAAACATAGTTTTGATCCGAACTCGAGGCTTTCATCTGATTCTGGAATTTGTCCTAACATTCGTGGTGGTTGTCTTTAGCGACTGTGGGCTTGACGGCCATAGCATTATACCTCCCCGGCAAGCTCGTCTCTGAGACCAAGGGCGTCCGGGTGTTGTTCGACTTTCTCCGGTTTGGCTTCCCAGTCTTCTGTCTCTGGGCCCACTTCGGTGGCAAGCGCCTGCTGCGCCTTCGCCAGCGTCTTGACGAGTTGGAGGATGTAAGCCTTGTCCATATGCATCCTGATTTTGACAAAGAGGAGCAACTGCTGACATTGGTGCTCAAGATCCTGGCTCGAATTCGTGATGAATAAGGGGGGGGCTTCCATAGGGCTGGTTGGGGGTGGGGAGGGGGCGAGCCTTCGGGAGGAGGTGTCAAGGAACTGGGCGAGACTTTCATCTGTATCTCATATAAAAACCTCCCAATTTGGTCTCGTTATCATTGGCTGCACTCAACCGTGATTTCTTGATCTGGGAAGTATCTGAAACTTCGGCTGACCGTCTCCCCCAGCACCAAGTTGTTGATGCTATGTTATTCGCTGATTGTAATAAAGTCCAACGACTACTTGCTTGGGAGCTTGGGTAGGAAGACGGTTGCAGAATCGTGATATGTCTTGTGGTATCGTGGAAACAGATCGGTCAGACTCGCGCAAGGATTTCACGATCAGGGAGGGGTCCGACATTCTGACCGTAGGTGTAGTCTAGACTCATGGTCCCATGAATAGGTGACTCTATAAACAAGAAGTGTTCAAGGGAAGGGGTGGTCCCAATCGCGACGAGTGTCCCGAGGGTGTTGTGTTGAGCGGTTGCATCGTGGGCGTGGAGGGAGGTTCATTCTTAGGGCCCATTCCTTCGTCGAATCAAGCACATACGATCATAGATGGTAGAAAACTCGGGATCCCGTCCGCTCTCCCATAGATAAGCTACCAATCGCCAGCCTAGTAGTTGGGTCGGTGATGACCAGCGAATCCCTGGTGTTGTATGTTTTTTTTTCTTCTTGCTTCTTTTTGCCATTTTCCTGTACCTCCTCCCTCTTATCACACCCTTTCGGGTTTTCTTTTTGTCCCCGTAGGTCTTCTTCAAGGCGCATATTCTATTTCGTTTTCTCCTCAAGATATCTGCTTCCTGAAACCCTCGAGTACTTCAAACTCTGCTGCCCTTCTATTCAGCTCTTGACGGCTTTCACCAGATGAAGATGAGATACATGGCGTGGTGAATGATTAGGCAGAAAAGACGGACCGGGCAGTAAGGATCAGAATGATATCCTGCACGATACTTGCACAAGGACAGTTTGAATGTGGAGTGACCGCGCGGTTGGTTGCACATACTTGGTGACTAGACGGATCATTCAACTCCGGCCGGTATCAGTCCAAGTGACGGTGTTTTGGTGCTTGTTAATGAATAAATTAGACACTTGAGCAGGCAGATTAGTCCTTGAGGAGAACGAGCAACGAGTCAGATGAATCTAGGTATTTAGGGAGTGGCAGTGGTGTTGGTCATACTAAGACTGGCTGGCGAGTGTCATGTGTCGGCTGGTCATTTCTGTACGAGAAGCACGTTGTTCCGATACGAATGGAAGTTGTCAAAAATGTACGAGATCTCAAGTGCCGGTTAAGCATCTTTGGTAGCTCAGGTAGACTTTGCAAGCTCCGGTGACTGTTGACGGAGTTTCAGCAGCTTGAGGAAGTGATAGGAGTTTGATTACTGGTCGTTAAGCCTTGGTAAAGGTACTGGACCAGGCCATATGATGTGTGGCTATAGAGGCATTTGCCCAACATGTACTCTCAATTAGGTATATATCGATCTAAAATGACTGAATAACTACCACCTCTTGAAATCTGAAGACGTGAAACGGGCTTTAACTAACCGGAAAAGATAGTACAGGTACATGTGAAAAGTTAAGGCTACCAAGTAGATGCTGACAACAAGAGAAAGAGCCAAGTATATACATCGAGATGACCTTATACCAAATGGATAGGGGTTGACTCCATCAACTATCTGTAAAGTTCCTCGGGAATCTTCTTTACCAGTTTATCTGCTCCTTTCGGGTTCAGGTACAAAAGGTTGCTCAAGCAGTCATCCGCCTCGTATTCTTTAAAATCGCCCAAATGCTTGTAAACAGGCGATTCGTTTTGGGTTCCAACACGCTCCAAGACAAGGCCATAAAGCTTATTGTTTGAATCGTACAGAGGTAGTAACGCTCGCTCTACTTCTTGCTTATTCTGTGCCCGAATTGGCTGGTCCAGCGTGATGATAAGACTGATTGCGAATCCGTGCTCACAGCTTGGACAGATTTCTCCTGTAGCTGGAGACGTGTGTGCAGGGAGGGCACATTTGACGGTTTTAAAGAGGACAGGGTCGGTTTGTCCTCCTATGAGTATCTCTGCTGGGTTTATCAAGGGTGTCGGTTTACCACGCAAGACAATGCGTGCTGGTCCTAATGGATCAGTAACGTTATTGTCCGAACCCTGCAAGAAGTCAAGCTTAATAAGCTCTCGATGTGAATCAAATTTCTTTCTATCATTACAACTTGTAAATGCCACATCGCAGAAACTTGCAGCCCACGACCAAGACGAGAAGTGTTGATTTAGCACGCCAGTCAACTGATGGGCTTTAGGACTGACCCATTCCTCTTGATAATTTGTGGCCCTACTCCAATTCAGATACAGGGCGAAGGAGTCGCCGGTGTCCCATAGGCCTCCAGCATATGAGCTGGTAGCCGGGTGTGGAACTTTGTCTCGCAGTCTGTTCATGATACCGCGTATTGCGACTAGCCTGTCACGCGGTTCAGTAAGGGACATGCGGGAGAACCTAGAGACAACGGCCATGCACATACCGGAGAATTCGTACTGAAGGTCGGATTCTGACTTGGTGCTTTTCAGCTCGCCGTCTTCGGGCGTCAGAAACTCCTTATAGTGGCGTATTTCATCCTTAATGTAATTAATGCTTTTGCTGAGCAACGGAAATGCTTCCCAAGCCACGGAGCTCATACATTCCCAAAGAACTTGCCTTCCGAGATGTATTGTCCTCCTGGATAAAACCCGTTCCTGCAGCGTCCAACCTCTCTCATAAAGAGGTGTATGGTTGCGTGCAAACATGTATGGGCGGGATACCGAGAATGGAAATGTGATGGAGTATGCGTCGTACTCGTGTGAGAATACATAATGGGCGATCTTGTGCCCTCCTGTGGTATCGGCAATACGACCGTTCACTACGAAAAGCACGATGCCCAAAGGGTTCCGCGAACACTTGAGACCGACGGATTGCCCCCCCAGGATTCCTGCAATATTCAAGAGCCTGTTCTCGTAAATCATGTCCATGACTGACCCCGTTCAGCCCAATCCATCGGATCATCCTGAATGATACATAAGGAGTCTATCCAGACATATCGCACGCCGAGTTGACATGCCAATGACGCAGTATCTTTGTATATTTCTGGCCATTCGGTGGCGGGAACTGCCTCGTAATAGCTATCTTTGTTGGTTCGAGTCATCTTGGACTTGACAGTCTCCGGTGTCCAGCAATAGCTCAGCGTGATATATACTGGCCTGTCGGCTCCTGCTAAGTGGCGGTCGACCAGCTTAGCCGGTTGACTTGAGTTGGTTCCAAAGTCGATGAAGCGAACAATTGGGCCCCCTTGACCTTTGTACTCATAAGAGGCGTTGCATTTGGGGTGGCTTTCTTTGTAAACCTGTATCCATTCCTTGATCTGTTCAACTCTAAGTTCGCCGAGGTTCGTATGAGAGATATGCTGTACCAGTTTGCCATAATTAGGATGATTATACTGGTGAGGCTCGTCTCGATCTGTGGCGGTAACAGGCCGGTATTTCAGACGGCATGCATGATCGAAATGCTCATCCCCTGGTTTTCTAAACATGACTTCAAGATCGTGATATTTCGGCCGTATGTGAATCAAATACTCGTCATATAAAGAACAGCAACTTTCATAGCCTTGGTCTTGGATGTTGTATGGATCTGGAGCTCCAGAAAAGAAGACCCTCCCACAAATAGCCTCAAGCACCAAGCTGCAAAAGTGACAACCGGCTTCGGACGCTTTACGAGAAGCATCCACATTGAAAGGACCTCTTGTGATTTCTTCAGTGTAGTATTTCGTGCTCCCCTTCAAGACACTTTCACCTTCTTTTTTCCATATTTGTTTCCAATTGCCATCTGGAAAGATGTTGTCAGCACAGCTTTGGCAGAGCTGATTCGGCTGCAGCCCCGAGCGAGGTTGTTGTAAACTCATAGCTGTTTCCCCGAGTAGGGTATCTGGAACGAAATCGGGGGTTGCTGGGGTCAGATGCCCACGTCGTCGTTTGCAACCGAAGAGTAGGCGCAATGATCTTTAAACTCGGCGTCGTTGCGGTTCTTGACAAAAAGCACGAAGTGGTAAGGAGAGTGACGTCGAATGTATAAACCCGGAATCCAAGACGGTGAGTGTCAGCGTAGATAATTTGAGTTGGGAACTGATGGATTCTTCGGTGACCTACGCTACTATCTTCGAAGCGAAAGCGGCTGGCAATGCTGACTGTAGGAGATAACTGAGAACGAAGGATACCGAACACGAGGACAATGATGGACGAGATTAGTGCAGATGCGATGGCCTGATGGATTGGTCTATGATGATGGTGATAAGAGAGAGAGAGAGAGAGAGATGCCCTTGTTAACAATGTAATGTCAACGCGGGGTCCTCTGGTACGCGTGTCTGCGTCGTGTAGACAGCGCTTGCCACTCTGCTTGTACGGGTACTCCCGCGTCAGGCGAGCGCTAAGCGGAAACCAGGTAAATGGAAGTGTCGATTCTGAATATGGTCGTGATCTGTTACTGTCCGCTATCAGAAGGAGCAATTGGAGTTCGGGCGTGCACAAGATGGCGAGTAGTCTCTCATTATAGATGTGCTCTGAAGTCATCAGTCCCCAATTTTCGCGCCTCCGGTGTTGCTCTGCCATCGCCCGTGGGCACTCGCAATTCGAGGCGTTGTCAGAGTTTCGGAAAGGCAAATGCAAACGAATATTGAACCCCAGTTCTCGAGGTATCAAATCCGCCCCCCCCCCCCCCCCCCCCCCCAAGGTATTCCTTAGGAATATAACGAATACCTAGTCCCGAACTCCATGTTTCCCCGTTAGAATCGACTCTTAGTTAACACCAATAAAGACGGCAAATATTCCCAGCCAGATTCCGCACCGTACGTAAATCAACCTAAGTACAGCCTCTCTGTTCATCACCCTACACCCCCTCTCCGTCCTCTCTCCCCTTCCTCCCATCACCTTTCCCCTCCCCAACCCTAACAGCCCAGACCAACCCACTCGCCCCTGCCAACAGCCCCCCGGCAATCCAAAACGGCAGCCCAACCCAGCCACCTCCCCTCCTCAGCCCTTCACTCATCCCCTCCGCCAACACCGGCCCGGCAACCATGATTCCCACCATCTCCAGCCATCCCACCACACTATTCACCAATCCCATATGCTCCTCATCTACCAATGCATTCAACAAGCTCCGCAACGTTGACCCAACTCCGGAGCCAACGGCGAAAAGAACCATGCCCGCAGTGAGTGAGACGCGGGTAGATGCGAAAGCGATGAGTAAGCACCCGGAGGTGAGGAGGAGGGAGGAGGTGCGGGCTAGTGCGAGGTCTTTTTTTAGTGGGCTCAATGGGGTGAAGTTGAGGTGGAAGCGGGATCGTGGTCTTGTGGAGGTGCTGGAGGTGCCACTATCAAAAAGACGGAGAGGGGAAGTTCCAAGCAAAAGAGAAGAAACAAAAGGTAAGATGACAAGAAGGGTTATCAACGAGGTAAAGTGTGGGATGGTCAACAGGTAAGAAGCTTCGGACCAGGAGTAGCCGAAACGCTTGGTGGCGTATTGGAGAAGCAGGGCTTGGGCGTATTTGCCGATGACGACGAGACCGAGAGCGAGGGTGAGGATGCAGATTTTTTTGTTGTTACTGGTGGCGAGGAAGTTGGTGAGGGAGTGGAGGGTTGTGGTGAGGCGGTTGACTATGGTTTTCTGGGGTGAAGAAATGGTGGATGGTTCGGAAGGAGGTGGAGAGGAGAGGATCATGGGTTTAGCGATATCTTCGTCGTCTGTGGGGAGACGCGTTGAGATATTATCGTCTTTGCCGAGACGCTTCGTTGATGAGCAAGAGGCTTGGGCTTTGAGATGTCGAGTTTCGGGGAAGACGAGAGTGGTTACGGCTGCGAGGGTTATGAGGCCCAGAGAGAGAATGAGAGGGATCCATGGGCTTTTGACCATGAGCGAACCGGCTATGGGCCCGGAAATCATGCGTGCTGTGAGGTAGGTAGCGTGCATTTGAAAGAAGAGGGTGGCTCGCTCGGCGATGGGAATGATGTCGGATATGAAGGTGTAGAGCATGGCTGCGATGATGCCGCCGCCTCCCCCAATTCTGGTGTGTTGGATGCAGTTAGACGAGGATGCTCTTTTGTAGGGCAATACTTGGGAAGTAAACTTACAGCAGGAATAAAGATGTAAGCCAAACTGTCCATATCGGAAAGATATCCGGGAGGAATACTGCAATACACTCCGTTGTAAGTCTACCACCATTCCACCACAAAAACCGTGGATCAGACCTACGAATAGTAGCCAACGCAAACATCTGCAACATGGCCCCCGACATGGCCAGCGACAGCACCGGTCTTCGGCCCCATTTATCGGACAATATGCCGAACGGTACCGTCATGAGGATGCTTGGGATGCAGTCAAAGGTAGCCTGCCACCCTTGCAACATGGCCAAATAGCTCTGGACATCTTCTTCCTTGCAAACCGGATTGTCGCTAAGCAGTATGCTCGCTGTGTTGTTTGCAAATCTCGAGGCCACATCCGGATGTAAGTTGCGACAAATAATGCTCTCCTCCACAGCGTTGGTCGGCGGCACGCTGAGCGCAACGCTGAGCTCAAGGAGGAACATGGCGCCAAGACATAGCGGGATGATCTTGGGCTTTAGCCGCTTTCTTCGCGCCTCTAGTAGGGAATTGTACTGTTCTTGGTCTGTATCGTTGACGTTGGAGTCGACAGCGGTATCGGTAGACGACGTGGCAATGGTATCTGCTCTTCCTCGTGAGGTGTAAGTAATCCGGGGATTCTCGATATCGATGACGGCGTAGTTGAATTCTGGAACTGGGGATTGCAACAACGGGGTAGATTCATTTGTGGAGAAAGACGAAGGTGAAGAAGCTCGATTATGCTGACCTAGTACCACTCCTTCCTCTTCCAAATCTCTGTAAGAAGCCATTTGAAGCAGCTATTTGTGAGATCAAGACGTGGAGGAGACGGCATGGGTTAGTCAGTATACTTTGATGCTCGTTGACGTTCCAAGAACTCGGATATAGTAGTGGATAGGGAAAGCAGGGGGATAACAGGATCATTTTAAGAGCACTGGGGGGCAACATTAGAACGCATGCATACCTACTGGAAAGCTTGAGTTTCGGGTACGGTGACCAGAAACTTGAGTGGTATGGTACCGTGAGCAATGACCTGGGACAAGGCGTCGTACTCGTGATAGGGTATCCTATGTTCACACTGCACCCTAATCAACCTCGGATGCGTCGTGTAGGGCAATAAGTGGCAGATAACGAGTGATCGAATCAAGGTTCGGGATACCACTCTGGATGCGGCCGCCCAAAAGGGTGTGGTGTTAGGGGACCCACGGTTTGAGGCACAGCATACACACAGCGGATGTATATGCAGTACCTGAAGATAGAGATAAATGAGCTACTCGGCAGTGTATCGGTCCTGGGCCATAGAAGTGATGAAACTCGTGATGAACCTTGCTCCTGGTGAGAATATGGAAAGATTGAACAGAACAGAAGAGAGTGGGGAGGAAATAGTATACTTCGGCCTTGCGCCTATTTTGCGCCTCACTTGCCCCAGGGATCTTCGTGACTATGGGGTCATCCTGTTTGAGTTAAGATTCTGTGCCTTTGGCCCAAAGCTTCATCGTGAATGACAGGATCTAAGACACTTGGTGTCTTCCTAGTACGCCTCGGTATAATGTTTCAGCCTTCTGGGCTCGGACTCGAGTTCATCTGACACTTGACGAGATCAGTGCTGGGATGGGATTTGGGAGGGGCGGGGTGAGCCTAGTCATGACCCGCGCAAGATGGACTCTTGATCATGACCTAGATGTCTACACCCAGCAAAGGGAGAGCTTGTACTTAACCAAGTCTGGGGACAGTGGGGCCTGGGCAGATAACTTCTCCCAGCTATTTCCGTGCATAGCACCCGTTCCCATCATCCTTTGGATCAGTGGGTATCCACGTGGTGTATCTCAACGCTTTCTCACCCGTAGTTACACAGCCGCTCGTCTGTGGACAGGCATCCAGTCCGGTGTTGCTCATTGGACGTTAAATGAGCAGCACTGAGCCCGGCAGGCATGAGCTCTTGAGCCAGTCACTGTCGATGAAAACAAAAGCTTCCAAGTTGTCCGGTTGGACAAGGCTAACGGCTACAGCCCGTCATTTGGTTCGAATCTGGTAACCCAAGGCGTAAAGTGGAAGTCCCAGTAACCACATGGATACGAATAAGAAGGTATTCGAGAGGCTTTGCCCTACACGTCTCGTCCCTTCAAACATGACCTTCCGAATCACGGCATCATGTGTTGCAGGGAGGTGCGGTAGATAGGCGCAAGAGGATGGAAAAGAGGCGCCGCCTATCTGTGTTTGGTTCCGAGAGGCGCCTTAAAGGTGGGTAAGGTGGGCCATGAGCTGTCCTATCATGGGATTACTTTGGTCGCTGAATTGTACACTATTTGACCATCACGTAGGATGAATCAGCATAAGGACAAACCTCACAACCGTGGATGATGAGGTTATGGACTTACCTTACCCATTTTGTAGGCAGCGAATCGTGCTTATTCCAGACTTTCCAGAGTTAATATCGATATGTAAACCCCCGATGCCCGTTGGGTTTCTGATGAGTCGCTCCGAGACAGACAACTCATCACACAGATGCTGTTCCACATCTCGTATGAGCGAGGCCCATAGAAACAGTCGACAGAAATGGATCGAAATGAGCACAGAAGCTCTTCCAGAAATGATGTGATGGAATCTGCTCGACCGACCCCGCGATTGATGGTGTGTTACGGTGTTGGTTGGTCGGGTCGGGTCATGCACCCTGGTCAAGCCCCGAAAGAAGGAAAGGCACTCCCGGCATCGCTGTGGCTGGGTGTTTCAGGGGGCAGCCCCACTAGTATTGACACGGCACCATCCGCCATCCGTTTGTTGTCCCCTGCGCCTCCACCATCTCCAGCTTCAAAGTTGCTCTGGGGCAACGGAGAGGCTCATCCGCTTCGCTCAGCTGTTGATATCAGATGAACCCGAAGAACCAAACCGTGGTTAACAGTCCCGAAGTATTTCAGAAATGTCTCAAGGCAGAGCAAGAGTCATCTCTACCGAGCCCCTGGTGGGTGAATTGGTCCCCTTTGACAACACCAAGCCAGGTTTGATACTGACCATCAAGCATAGCCCAACAGTGAGGCCGAGTGGAAGAGACTAGTCAAGTGAGTCTTTGTTCAGCTGGTACAAGAGTAACACAAACGCTGTTTACGGTACCTTGCATGCCTTTGCGGTCACGATACTTAAACCAGTTCTCTCAGGACAACCTACATCGGCCAGGACGGCGTCACCCGGACATGGGAACATGCGGAGCGGACCACTCGTCCCAAGGGTAGTGACTTTGACGGCGTGAGCGTCATTGCTATTCTTGGAAAGGACACTGGTAGGTTTCTTGCGTCGTCGTGGCTCATGACAAGTTTTTTTAAACACCGTTTTTACCTCGTAGGCCGCGAGATCCTTCTCGAGAAGCAATACCGTCCACCTCTTGATCGGATCTGCATCGAGCTTCCAGCTGGTTTGGTGGATAAAGGCGAAACGGCCGAACAGGCAGCTGTCCGGGAGCTCAAGGAGGAGACAGGCTATGTTGCGCAAGCTTTGACAACGTCGCCGATTATGTTTAACGGTATGTAACGTGCTTGCCCTCGTTGTCGGGTCCTCATACGCTAACAGGTTGCCAGATCCCGGATTCTGTAATACGAACTTCAAAGTAGTCGAGGTCAGCGTTGACATGAGCCTGCCAGAGAACCAGGAGTTGAAACCTGAGCTCGAAGAGAACGAATTCATCGAGGTCTTTAGCGTTAAGCTCGTCGATTTGTGGGACGAATGCGTCAAATGGGAGGCTCAGGGGTATGCGCTTGATGCGCGCCTGGCCAGTTTTGCCAAGGGTATTCAAATTGCAAAGAAATACGGACTGTAAGCGGGCCGTATCAGGAATAAGACGAGAGTCGCGGACATTCCACTTGCGGTCCAACGTTATATCTTTTAAGAAAACCTGGCAACGCGTATGCTGCCTACTGGTGGGTTGGTTCAAAGCTTCCCCTCTCTTCGCAAGCCTTCCCACAAGGCCACCGCCGCAAGGCTTTTGGCGTCTCTCGCTCCCTCGCGCCAAAGATCCTGCATCTTGACCAGCTTGAGGGATATTTTCTCCCCATGCTCACGGAGCCCCGTAAGTCGACCGGTCCAGTCCTTGAGCGTGTCCCGTGGTACACGTCTCTCGTGCATGTATATAGGGATGTACTCATCGCACCCTCCGGCGGAAGGGTACATAGCGTGTGGCAAATTTCCGTCCTGGAGCTTGTCATTATCACTTTTTGGTGATATCCCTGCCATCTCGCTGAGGCACTTCAACTCTGGAGTGGGAATCTTCAAGCCGAGTTCTTCCTCGATTTCCATCGCAGCAGTTCCGGCAAACTGGCCCTCTTCGTCCACCATGCCAGCGGGCAGCTCAACAAACTCAAGGGCACCGGCAGGTATCCGTGGCTGCACGGTGAGCAAGACATATCGTTCATCGCTATCGGCGGGTGCATCGTCAGGGATCAGGATCACGAGCATGGCAACGCTTGGCCCTCGAAGGAAGATTGATCCGGGGAGCTTCTCTCCGGCGCGGTTCGTCACTTCGGCGACGAGCTTGAGGAAGCCGAGCCTCTTTCCGCCGAAGAGGTCGAATGACTGAACGGTCACGGAGCGGAGCACATAGGGATCCCGGTAGAAGGGATGTGAACTGTCCCCTGCTTGCAGGCTAAGGGAGTTTTCAAGCGTGAATATCCAAGACTGTGCAGATACAGGTCCTGTCAGTGTCTCTGCGTAGGATGGAAGTAGCTAGGGCAGTCCATGTCTTACACGGAACGGATGAAAGCTGAGAAGCTGCTCCTGGGTTAGGCCCTCGGGCAAGGTTACGGGCACCGCGTAGTCCGGGTGGTTGAAGGTCGACATGGTACGATGGATGCGGATGTTGAAGGGAGAAATCAGGGAGTTCAGCAGTACAGCTGGAGACGATGACGGCCAACGGTGGAGAAGCGGGATGGTGTTTCTACTCTGATAGAGCGTTGCAAGAAAGATTGGCATGATGAACAAAACGGCGATCCATCCTCGCATGTTTTATGCGATCCTCTGTCAGGCGGTGTGCGACTGCGCGCGCGGGGTGCTGACACCGAGGCCGCCCGTCTGACCGGAATGCTGTGAGCCTGTGAGTTGTTAGGGACAACGAGGCAGCAGCACGGCGGTTGCGCGACCCAAATCGCGGCTGTGAAATTGTTGGTAATGTGTCAGATCAGTGTCGCGTCTGGAGTTGTCAACACCTCGAAGGAGACAATGAGGAGCTCGACAACGCAAGCGGGCACTGTTTGGCGGGTCGGGTATCCGGCCTTGGCTCCCGCTTGGTTGAAGTCCCATTCGGGAGCTCTAGGTGAGGCTGACGTCAACTATGGGGCCCCCGAAACCGCCTGAATCGGGAGCCTAGCGGCAGAGCCCTGGTCCACCTCAGACTGCCGTCCCAGGGTTAGGGGCTTTTGCATCCTGGGGATTCCACAATACTCCAAGAACCAAAGTCAATAAGTGGAATGAAGATCACCGAAACAACAATGATAAGGTATCCAGAGAGTTGGAGATCCAAGCCCGACAAATCACACGAATCGTCTTGTCAATTTGCAGATTTCCCCACAATATGACGCTCATACATGACAATGCGGATAGTGACGTCAAACATCCATGATGACTGAGTTCAGATGTCTTCAAATAGAGCTTTCGTCTCTTCGTTGAATGCTATCTTCCTTCCTCTCCATCATCATCACCAACTACATCAATCACAAGCAATCCAAACAAAGAAACGCATCAAAGGCTCACCTAAAGCCATCATATCAGCTCAACACACAAACACATCCATCAACATGCCTCGCAACGGAGACGGTTCTTCTGACAACGCCATCGAGCCTACCAACAACATCATCCACGGTGCCGGTGAGGAGCCTGTAAGTAACAGCACCATCAAGTTCATATCATATCCATCTTCACAAAAGACTAACGTCACGTTCCCAGACCACCCGCGTTGCTCGCGCCGACAAGACTGCTCCCCTCCCCGAGCACGAGCATGGCGCCGGTATCAAGGGAATGAACGCCAGTGGAGGTTCGAGCCAGGGTCTCTCCCAGGGTCCTCATGCAGGACAGGGAAAAGGATCTATCCATGGTCCAAAAAAGATCTAAACGACAACCTACCTAACATCTAATGAATAATGAAATGAAGTTATGAACACTTATACTTGACATGGTCAGCTGCAACATGTGAAATCAGGCGTCTGGTATTGGTGTCGGGAACCCAGGTCTTTGCGACTCTTGTCTTCTTCTCCGGAAACATCGCACCTTTCACACAACAATTGATTGAGGCTGTCTCCCCCTTTCGCCTGACACTCATGTTAACATGGAGGCTCCTCTTACACAATGTGATCGAGCCCGGGTTAGGGTTAGGTGAGACGCCCGCATGTGCTGATCAACCCCCACCTTCTCCTCAGCCCCTCAACCTCCCCGCCTCCTTGCGGATCGCCAAACCCCAATCACGTCATAGACAGCTTACTATGCAGTATACTGATGGGAGTTTTATACTTTCTGGCATCATCTCCTAGATCAACAACCCTCATACCTGTTGCACGATTCGCATCCTCGATACCCTTCTCTACACTGACCTGCGTCTATGAGCTTCATCCTCCGTTCGCCAGCGCTATCCAAGCTCCCGCGAACTCTTAACTCTTCCATCAAGACCCCATTTCGCCAACTCAACAGCACATCTCTTCCTCCTATACAGAACCGCCCGAAGCGCAATATGTCGTCGAAGACCTCCAAACCCGCAGCCGTCGACACCTCCCTCCAAGGCTCCCCCACTGGCGCCGCCGCCTCTTTCGCCTCCTCCCACTCCTCCGACCACCCCCTCAAGCTCTACGGCGGGTGGTTCTGTCCCTTCGTGCAGCGAGTATGGATCACCCTCGCCGAGAAGAACATCCCACACCAATACATCGAAATCAACCCCTACCACAAAGCGCCCGAGTTCCTCGCACTCAACCCACGGGGGCTGGTCCCCACTCTCGCCGTGCCCACGGTAACCGATCCAAAAACAGGAAAAGTGAAGGAAGTCAAGCCGCTGTACGAGAGTCTGGTGCTTTGCGAGTATCTAGATGAAGCCTACGCAGACCCCAACCAATATGGCGAGCGCCTGCTCCCGCAAGAAGATGCCTACGAAAGAGCTAGATGCCGTCTCTGGATCGACCACATCTCCTCGCGAATCGTCCCGTCTTTCTACCGCTTCATCCAGCACACGCCCGACAAGGCGTACACGATCGAAGAGATCCGGGCAGAGTTTCATGGTCACCTGAAAGCGTTTGCGAAGGAAATGCTTTCATGCCTTTCTTATCCGGGACCATTCTTCCTAGGCAACAAGTTCAGTCTGGTAGACATTATGCTAGCACCCTGGGCCAAACGGTTGTTCCTGATTGATCACTATAAACCTGGTGGAGTGGGGATTCCGTCCACCAAGGAACAAAGGGGAGAAGATGAGGAGGTGTGGAAGAGGTGGGAAGAGTGGTACAATGCCGTTGTCCAAAGGGAGAGTGTCAAGAAGACGTGGAGTGATGACGAACAATATGTGGGTGCGTATAAGAGGTATGCGGAGGATACGACACAGAGTGAGGTGGGGAAGGCGACGAGGAGTGGGAGGAGTTTGCCTTGAGCTGAGGTGTGAGTGTTCGAGGCTTGAGGGAGGTGGTGATCATGGTGATGGGAGAGAGGGTTGCGAAGGGGGTTTATAAGGGGTGGATGAACGCGGGTTTAACAATAACAAGCCCGCATGGCTCAGTGGTAGAGCGCATCACTAAGTAATGATGAGGTCGTCAGGTTCGATTCTGGCTGTGGGCATCATTCCTTCCTTTTTGTATGTCTGCCCTTGTGCAGGGGGACATTGAAATCCCCATTCTCGTCTTTTTTTTCCTCGCGGTTTGCGAGGTGGTATTTGTACATGAGGACATGGATGGGTTTTCCACATTTCATGAATTCGGATGTTCGCGGCAGAAGTTGTGGTGGGTTGATGCGGATACAGTCTTTGAAGAAGAAGTCGTGGAATTGAATTCTATCGAGCTCTCTTTCTGCGTACTCGAGAAGCCAACCATGCGCCAATTGCAGCTGCAATAGATTCCATGGGATTTCTTCACGCTTTATCAAGAGGCAAATAAAAGTGTAAACCCCTGGTAAACTCTCAATGGTTCGGAGGTCGTGTTAACACTTGCCGAGTTATTTATGTAACTCGCATTCTAGGTAAAAGTAGTCAAGAGCTAACGAAAATATGTGACTGTCGGATACGTTCAACCCTGAAGTGCTGTCGTGAGTTTCACAAAGTTTCCAACGTGATCACGGTTTATAACACTGGGACGATTCATGTCAGGAAGGGAGATAACATAACGTAAGGATGAGAAGTTCATTTTATTCCATGGGACGAGGTGCCATATTCACACCTCTTCAGCTTCATATCACTCTCCCGAAATCTAGACATTCAATGGACTGATGTCGGGTCGCTTCAAGGCCTTATGGTAGGGCGGATGGACGTAACATAACTCTGACAACGGATCTTTACTCAATGCCGAACGGAACCACACCCCAACCCCCCCACCGATCCTTTCTATTCCTTTTTTTCTCTTCAACCCCCTATTTTGCTGTTCCACGCACACACTCTTTTGGCCAGCCCAAAACAGGATTGTTATCGGCCTTCATGAAGTCCTGGAGCTCCTCAGGAAAGTTTCTCCATAGGGAAAATGATCCCACTAGGAAAGGAAATGGGGGTATCATACTCCTGATTGCCTCCTCCTCCCCCTCTTGATAAATGTTCTTCTTTGAAAAACCACCCCAACCTTCCCGACGGTTACCATTTTGCCCACAGAGAGGGAGGGCCATGCAAAGGAGCAAATGAAAACCCGGCCCCGTGTCAAAAATGCTTTTGGGAAGAAAAACACGCTGAAAGTGGAAGGAGAACTGGAATGCGATAGGTTCGAAGTGAAAAATCTACGGCCGGAAAGGGGCAGTGAAAAGCCACAATATTTATGATGATGATGGTGGTGATGGGATTAAAGCTGAAGGGGCAAATTGTCCAGTGGGAACAATGCCCGGAACGGAGCAAAAAAAGGGGATGAGATCAAAGGGTTACCCCTTCCAACGGAAGCACCTTTGACCTATCCCCCAGGAAGCGAGCGCGGTACTCGATGATGCCGCGCGCAATGGCGTCGAAGTCTCTGACCTTCTTTGCACGGAATTCTTGAAGGAGCTTTCGAAGACCATCAATGAACCGCGTCTTTTGTTCGCCTTCGAATTCGTCGGCTTTGCCGAGCTCCAAGAGGATGGCATCGTCTGGTTGGTAGAGAGAGGAAGGAGTCAGCGCGCTGGGGGAGGGGGGGAAGAGGGAACGGGAGGAAGGAGGTCTGATGTTAGCAGCCCTACCACAAGTTTTAAGGGGACTTACCAGGAGCAACAATAGATTTAATGTGCTGGAATTCGCACGTTTCGTCACATTGTTCACCAGCAATCTCTGACGGGCAGAGCGGTATGGACGGATTTATTCTGTTACTGTAGGTAAGAGATCGGAGGCCACCGGGAACGGTGTCCCGGTAGCTCGGGTGAAATCGATACGCATGGAAGCAGCGCAACGGGCTTTCATAAGGCCTGAACGAGCCTGTCTTGGCTGCTGTCGTCTCGTGAGTCTCCTGTGATCTGGTTAACTGAACAGGGTTAGGGACCTCAGGAGAAACGGCGTTTACATCTCTTGCAGGCTCATCCTCTAGCTCCTGGACAGCTTCACGAGGCTGAGCAACAACCGAGATTTGCTCTGGTAAAGGTGACTGGGAATCATTGCCGTTTTCATCTGGAGAAGACTCGAGAGAGACCGGGCTGGACGGAGACGAGTCGATCTCCATTGGCGATGTCTCATCAAGTTTTGCAGGCGTGTTCTCGCGTTGAGCCTCAGAGTCAACGCCACCAACTTCGTTGGCCAGCTGTGATGTTGGGATACCCTCAGAAACATCAGTAGGACCATTGTTACTGTGGTCGCCTTGGCCTGACTCCAACTCTTCGCCTTCGTCAATGGACATGGCGGACGTTTGATCATCTTGTTCAGCGGTCTCTCCGGAAACCGCCGCTTCCTGGCCATCGGAAGCCGGGATCAAGATGGAAGACAACTCTGAAGGCTTATCTTCCGCACGAATGATGGTGCTGCTTTCATCCAAAGACTCCGAAGGCCCCGAAACGGCCTGAGAATCGGAGGGATCTGAATCGTTTTGGGATTCGATAGTAGGATGGACAGAGCCTGAAAATCAACCGCAGATGGTCAGACATGAGTTTGAGCACAGTAGCGGGTGACATAACACTTTCCATGGGAGTGATGCCTCAAATACAATCATCGCGGACAGGACTTACCGGAAGTAGTGTCCTTATCTGAACCGTTCGACTGGGCGCGAACTTCCACAGTGTTGGTGTCGGTTTGCTCGGGTTCCTCAGACAACCCATTGATCTCAGCTTCCAAGAGAGCTTGTTCCTCCCGCAACTGCCTCAACCTATTCATCTTGGCTTCCAGTGCCGCCTTTGCAGCTGGACTCGGCTTTGATGGTTCCGGAAGACTTGGCGAGCTAAGAACAGGCGCTGCCGAAGCGGGCCGTACGGGGGTTGTGATGGAAGACGGACCCGCAATGCTTGTCGAAACGGACTGCCGAGTAGTAGGCAGTCTAAACCCACTATCATCCTTCAACTCTGGGGTTTGCCCAGGATGCGTAGGCGTTTGCGAACCCGCGGAGTGTTTCTTGGCCTTCCTCTTGGCCTCGGCCTCGGCAATTTTCCTGCGCATTTCCTGAATCATCCGTTCTTTCACGTCAAGTTCCGTCTCTCGTCTTCGGATATTCTGCGCTGTTGCAGGTGGGTTCGATGCCTGCGCACCAGGGAGAGGACTTGAGAACTGACGCGGCGGCAAGGTGTCTGTCAAGGGTGGGAAATCACGCAACGGTGCTCCACGCTGGAAGTTTCCGTTGACTGATTGTGTTGGCTGTGGGACTTCAGTAGGAGATTCCATGTCCATATCAATGTCCATATCCTCGTCGTCCGAGCCGTCAGTCACATCAATGACTACAGAGGTCTCCTTCCGGATTTGACCGAAAGGTCTTTTAGGAAGACTGGTTGCTGCTGAGGAATACTCGACAAAATCAGCAGCCACTGGCCTTTTCCGTGGGTTCGCAGGTAGTGCAGGTTGGACATTCGGGGTTCCAGAGAAGTGAAGGCCGGGAATAGTCGACACCGCCACTGGCACATTGGCCGGAGCTTGAGGTTGCGATATGCCATTTTTCAATCCGGCTGAAGCCGCAGAGTTAGGAATGGGAGAGCTTGTAGCCTTGTCAGCAAGACCCGTGGTTGCCGCCTGTGGTTTGATATTTGCCTGCTCCTGCTTCTGCGCTTCGCGAGACTTTTGCAGTGCTGCAATCTTTAGCTGTAACAAAAGCTCTTTGGGCCCCAGTTTTGGTTTGGGCGCGGCCGTGTCGCCAGCCGGCTTTTCTTGCGCTGCCGCTGGCGCTCCCTTTGCTTCGGCAAACACGGGGCTCGGTTGTGCCATCACGACAGGAGCAGGTGCCATTTTTGTTGCGGGCACAGAGGGAGCTTTCGGACCAGGGACAACCGAAGACTTTGTAGCCTTCTCGGCCTTTGCGGCCATTAACCGCGCAATACGGTCTTTGCGACTTTCTTCTTTGCTTGGTTGCTCAGTTGCGGAAGCCGCATCAGAAACAACAGGCGCCGGTTGCTGCTGTTGTACCTTTGTGGTCTGCGGCGAGGTGGGTACGGGGCTAGACACCTTTCCTGGGGCAGCCTTTTGCGTGGAGGTAGTTGTCGTCGTAGTCTCCGATGCCGGCTTCGGTATATCGAGATGAAGGTTGTTGTAGAGTTTCTTGACCACCTTCTCGTCAATACCCTCTTCTATATAATTCTGATATTTCACACCTAAGGGGAGCAGACGCAAGATGGCAAGCTGAGCTTCCTTTTGAACAGTTTGTAACGTTTTCGGCGCAGACGAGCTGCCTGGAGTATTTTGGGTTGCAGGTGTCGCTTGTTCGGCCTTTTTGGGTGTCGTAGCGTTACCGAAGGAAGAGGATGAGGCAAATTGAAGGCCGGGAAAAAGAGGCGCTCGTCCATTAGCATTACCGGTTGCTTTTGTTCGGTCGGGGACAGCTTGTGGTGCTAAGAGACCCATCAGCTTGCTGCATTTGAGGAGGAAAGATAGACAAACAAACGGAAGCCCTACCTTGGATGCTCCTATCGCCATTCTGCGGGGTCGGGTTTCCAGAATAGAGCTCCCTTGGCGAAAGGAAGGGCGAGTAAGAACCAGATCTTTCACGTGCCGAGACAGGCACACCACCCTGGCTATCCTTTGCCGGTATTTCTCCCTCGTCCTCATCGTTTCCGTAGAAGTTGGCATCCGGAGTATCGACTGCGCTCGTGGGCTGGCTCTCGACAGGAACGGGGACGGGCTTTGATGCCTTTTTTACGTTGGTGTTGACGGTGATGGGAGGAGCGGGCTCATATAGGTCCTCGAACTGACCCTCACTCAACTCCCCTTCCTCTATCTCGATCGGTTTCGTAACGCGAGCAGGCGGCTTGGGGGGAAGATTTGGCGGGAGATTGGCGGGACGGTTTCCAGGAGCGTTCGATGAAGGACCACCAGCAGCAGGTTGGCTTGGACCAGAGTACCCGCCAAAGGGACGAGGCGCAGGAGGTTGCGGGGCTTGCTGAGGCATCATGGGCGGTGGCTGATGGTTCTGGAAAGAAGGCGGTGGTTGACCCCAAGGACTGGGAATAGGCGGGACGCCAAAAGGCGTGCTCGTGGCAGGTGGGCCACCAAACCCCAGACCCGGAATTTGCATTGAGTTGTAGTCAAACGCGCCCTGGGACATATTGCGATTGGTATCCATACCGAATCCAGGCTGGCCCTGGGGTTGGTACACTGGCACGGCGTTGTATGGAGGAGGACCTGTGATGGGAGGAGGGACGGGATAGTTTGGAGGAGGATGCTGATATCCGTATGGCGGTTGAGGGGGCGGTTGGGGAGGCGGCTGGCCTTGATACTGGCCGTAGCCATTATATGGTCCCGGGTAGGGAGGATATTGAGACATTTGGCGATGGAAGACGTCTGGAGGCGGGTACGTGGACTTTGTCTGGTATTGGATTGCGCTAGCAATCGACCCGCATCTCTCAGGGTCGACACAAGATTGTTGTTGGGGCGCGGGGAATGAAGGCTTCTTTTCCTCCTTTGTGGTTGTTGGCCACTGCGACTGCCCGACTCGCGACAGCTTCCTTGTTCGCAGAGGAGACGGAAAGGGCCAGCCAACAATTAAACGGCTCCGGCTCCTTCTTCCACTTCTTGCCTGAGAGTCGCAAGAGGCGATTGGCAAGTCGCGTCTTTTGTATTGATCGATCAAGTAGTAGCGACTTGAGGAGATCAGATGAGCGCGAGCGTATGGGTTCTCGTCGTGCGGCGCGTATAAGGGATGAATGAAGATAATCTATCAGTATCGCACCCTACAAGGTTAGTTCGACGACGGACCACAATCCCGTGTGCAACTGCAGCTCTGGTTTTTACTCTCTGCTGTTCCAAGGAGACAAGCAATCAATCAGATAAGTAACAGGCGCAAGCTTCACGAAGATGAAGGGGCGCGGGTAATTTGGGCTGATGGAGGTCGTTTCCTGGTCTGGAGAATGTGTGGACGTGGATCCAAAAGTCCAGAGTTGGGGTTGCAGCGGGAAAGATTGAAAGAGTTCAGAGTTGCATGTGGGATGGCCACACTTTGGTTCAAGTCGGATTCGAGAATTTGGAGGGCCCGTGGCCGCGCGACAACGACTGGCAGGTGTCGCTTTTACTGCAAAAGACCCGCTCAAGCGATACCTCCATGGTCGATAAGAGAGCACGGGCCACTTGGTGTGACATCAGGGCCGAGTAGCGAGTCTTGCGGCGGCCGGAGGTGAGCCGACGCGACTCTCACGATGAACTTCCGTCCCGCTCGAGGGTGGGCGGTCAGCAATGAGCTGGCTCGTGCTCCCAAGCTCTGGTGGGACGAAAGAAAGACCGGCGGCGGGACGAGAGAGAGCGAGCTGAGGGGTGGAGCGGGGAGGAGCACTGGAGGAGCACTGGAGGAGCCCCTTGGTGATGGTCGCATAATGTGTCGTCCAATCCCGTCGCTGCCCTGGCGCCAAATCCATTGTTTACTTGACACGCCGTGCGCTCTTTTCCCAGCGGGCCAAATCTGCCAGGGCAACCACCGCCAACACGGCCGCCAATCGCCAACCACGACGGGCCAGCCATCGGCCAGCGGTGCCCCTGCTTCCACTTCTGTTCCCTTCCCAGTTGTTGCAGCGGTAGCTCCCCCATGGTCGTCGACCGCCTTCCTGGAACTTGCCTGCTTGGACTGACCTGGCCATGGTTGGAGACTGAGCTCCTTCTCTCTCTCAACATTTCAGTTCTCAACACCGAGAGGCCGATGTCTGGGACATTGGTTTCTGGAACCAACACATACAATTCTTGTCTCTCTTGGGCGTCTTATTGCTCCAGCTATCGCCTTGTCTAATAGAACACCAATACCCTTGCTGCGTCCTCTTTGTCGCGTTCAGCTGCAAGCTTAACTTAGCCAGCGCCGTGCAGCCTTTCACCAGTTCAGCCTTTCAGTATCGCATCCCTCGCACCCTTTCGGTTGTTTACATGTCTGCGCGACAGTCGTCCACCAACACCACTTGGAAAGCAGAACAGAACATCATCGTCGCCAGAATCGCTAGCCCGAGCAGCACGCTTAATGCGTAGCCTGTCCATGACTTAGCTTCAGCCCTACCTAATCTTAACCTAGTACCTCCCAGGGCAGCTGCTACACCATGTCGGTACGCAATAATCCCTTTGCGAGGAACAATGCCCAGCCACAGCAGGGTCCGAATGTCCCTGGCCTGGGCAGGCCAAGATCCGCCGTCTTCACGAACCCAGCGGTGCCCATGATGCCTTCCGCCGCCGGTCCAGCTGCTGGTGCTGCTCCTCCTACACCGCCAACCCACATTCGCAGTCTATCCCATGCCTCGAGCCAGCCCACACTCGTTCAGCCGATACCAATACGCCCAGGACAGAAGAGCTCCTTGCCCAGCTCGACTACCTTTGCGCCGTCCTTCATCAAGACGGAGGACATGCGAAAACATGCCGACATAGTCAAGGGAATCGAAGGCGAGGACTTCTCGGGCAAAAAGTATGTCTGGCTTAAGGATCCCCAGACAGCCTTTGTCAAGGGTTGGGTCGTCGAAGAGCTCCCAGAGAACAAATTGTTGGTTCAGTGCGATGATGGAAGCGTAAGCAGAGCCCGCCCCTCTGTCCTGCCCGTACCAAGGCGCAATGTTCGATCAACTAACTGAACTCGCCTGCTAGCAACGTGAGGTGGATGCCGAAACGGTCGACAAAGTCAACCCGGCCAAGTTCGACAAGGCTAATGACATGGCCGAGCTGACCCACCTGAATGAGGCCTCAGTCGTCCACAATTTGCATACGAGATACCAGTCCGACCTCATATACACGTACTCGGGCCTTTTCTTGGTCGCCGTCAACCCGTATTGTCCTCTCCCCATCTATACCAACGAGTACATTAACATGTACAAGGGGAGAAACAGAGAGGACAACAAGCCCCATATCTTCGCCATGGCCGACGAAGCTTTCCGCAATCTTGTTGATGAGCACGAGAACCAGAGTATCTTGGTTACCGGAGAGTCAGGTGCTGGCAAAACGGAAAACACGAAAAAGGTCATCCAGTACCTAGCCGCTGTGGCGCACCCAGATCCTTCGGGCAGGACTAGAAATCCTCAGCATTCGAATCTGTCGGCGCAAATCCTCAGGGCCAACCCAATTCTGGAAGCGTTTGGTAATGCCCAGACAGTACGCAATAACAACTCGTCAAGATTCGGCAAATTCATCAGAATCGAATTCTCGAGCAATGGCTCTATTGCCGGTGCCTTCATAGACTGGTATCTTCTCGAGAAATCTCGAGTGGTCCATGTCAACACCAATGAGCGTAACTACCATATCTTCTACCAGCTGCTCAAGGGCGCAGACCGGAAGCTCAAGCAAGAGCTTCTGCTGGATAATATGGACGTCAAGGATTTCACTTATACCCGGGATGGCCATGACACCATTACCGGTGTGTCTGATAAGGAGGAGTGGGACTCGCTCATTGAAGCCTTCCTGGTGATGGGCTTCTCTGACGAAGAGCAGGTTGCAATTCTCCGAACGATTGCAGCCGTCCTCCACCTGGGCAACATCACTGTGGTCAAGGAGAGCCGGTCCGCTGATCAAGCTCGCCTGAACCCTGATGCCAAGACAATTGCCGGGAGGGCTTGCAAACTTCTAGGCGTACCTTTAGAGCCTTTCCTCCAAGGCTTGCTGCATCCCAGGGTCAAGGCAGGTCGAGAATGGGTCGAAAAAGTGCAAACACCAGAGCAGGTTCGCTTGGCCATAGACGCTCTTGCAAAGGGTATCTACGAGCGAGGCTTCGGTGACCTTGTAGCGAGAATCAACCGCCAGCTCGATAGAACCAGTATGGGTCTTGACGATACCCGCTTCATCGGTGTTCTTGATATTGCTGGTTTCGAGATCTTTGAGACCAATAGCTTTGAACAGCTGTGCATCAACTACACCAACGAAAAGCTCCAGCAATTCTTCAACCACCACATGTTCGTCCTTGAACAGGAAGAATATGCCAGGGAACAAATCGAATGGAAGTTCATCGACTTCGGAAGAGACCTGCAGCCTACCATTGACTTGATCGAGCTGCCAAATCCGATCGGTATCTTCTCTTGCCTTGACGAAGACTGTGTAATGCCCAAGGCCACGGACAAGACGTTCACGGAAAAGCTCAACTCCTTGTGGGATAAAAAGTCGCAAAAATATCGCCCTTCTAGGCTAGGCCAAGGCTTCATCTTGACCCATTATGCTGCCGAGGTCGAGTACTCAACAGAAGGGTGGCTGGAAAAGAACAAGGACCCACTCAACGACAACATCACACGTCTTCTAGCCGCTTCCACCGACAAGTACATGGCCAACCTGTTCGCCGATTGTGCTGACCAAGATGATGAGGCTGGTGCTATGCGTAGCCGCGTGAAGAAGGGGCTCTTCCGAACTGTTGCGCAGAGGCACAAGGAACAGTTGTCGAGCTTGATGACACAGCTGTACTCTACCCACCCACATTTCGTGCGTTGCATCATTCCCAACCACAAAAAGAAGCCAAAACAGTTCCAGAGCCTTCTCGTTTTGGACCAGCTGCGCTGCAATGGTGTGTTGGAGGGTATTCGTATCGCTCGAACTGGTTTCCCCAACAGGTTACCGTTTGCCGAGTTTAGACAGCGTTATGAAGTCCTTTGCCCGAATATGCCCAAGGGGTATGTCGAGGGCCAGGCAGCCGCAAGGATCATGCTCGATAGGTTCGGTCTCGACAAGTCACTGTACCGTGTCGGTTTAACCAAGGTCTTTTTCCGCGCGGGTGTGCTTGCCGAATTGGAAGAGAAGCGCGATGCCATCATCACCGAAATCATGGCCAAGTTTCAATCTCTGGCGCGTGGCTACATTAAGAGGAGGATTGCCTACAAACGCCTTTATAGGGCAGAGGCAACCAGGGTCATACAGAGAAACTTCCAAGTCTACCTAGAACTGAGCGAGAACCCATGGTGGCAGCTCATGGTCCGCATGAAGCCTCTTCTCGGCGCTACTAGAACTGCAACAGAGGTTAAAAAGAGGGATGAAATGATTCGTCAGCTTAGTGACCGGATGAAGCAGGAAGCCATGGATCGGCAGAGGCTGGAGGAGGAGCGTCGCAATGTTCACACCGAGATGCTTCGAATTCAGCAAACACTCGAGAGCGAACGTGCTTTGGCGCTTGACAAAGAGGAAATCTTCAAGAGACTGCAGCTACGTGAAGCCGAGCTTGAAGACAAACTAGCGGGCGCTTTGGACGACCAAGAGCGCATGGAGGAGCAAATGGATGGCCTCCTGGAAGCTAAGAAGCGCGCAGAAGTCGACGTAGAGAAGTACCGCTCACAGCTCGAGCAAGCTGCTGCCATCATCGGAAGGCTGGAAGAGGAGAAATCTGAACTTGCAAACCGGGTTGCGGACCTAGAACGTCAAATCGTCGAGATCTCACAGAAGCAGTCCGAGCGCAGCGAACAGGAAACGGCGCTGGAAAGTGAGCTTAAGATGCTACAGAGCCAGCTCTCCCTGAAGGATCGCAAGGTGAAGGACCTGGAAAGCAAGCTGCTCAAGATCGACCAGGATAGCGATGTCAAGCTTATGACGACCCAGAAAGAGCTTCAGATTGCCAAGAGCAAAAATCAACAACTGGCCACCGAGAACACCCAGTTCCAACAACAGCTTACGCAACTCTCGAAGACGTCAACAAGTTATGAGGATCTCATTCGAAAGAAAGAAAGCGAGCTTGCAATTCTGCGTACGGAAAACAAGCAGCTGGCAACGGAGAGGCGAAGCATTGATGATCAAACAAAGATGCTTGCTTCCGAAAGGGAAAAGGCCGCTGAAAGACTCCGGGAAGTCCAGGCTGAATTGACTGCCATGAAGTCGCAACAAGCTCAGTTAATGAGGGAGGCCGAGGATGCCAAGAAGCTTCTCCAAGCTCGCCTCTCTGAGGACGCCCAGGCAGACCAAAACCGCCAAGTGCTCGAGGCCCAGATCAAGGATCTTAAGGATGAGTTGTATAACGCTCAGATGGAACTTAGCAGGGAGCGTCAATCTCGAGACGATGTCCAGTTACTTGGTGAACACAAGTTTCAGACCCTCAAGGACGAGTTCAATAGCCTGAAGGAGTCCAAGATCGCAATCGAGAAGGAGCTCTATGCCCAGCAGGATACGCTCCGGCGCGCAGTTGAGACCCGTGCAACGCTTGAACAGGAGCGGGATGACGCCCGCGAGGAGATCCGTCGTCTTCGCAGTGCCATGACCCAGGCCGAGGAAGCACGACGTGAGGCCGAAGTGCTTGGAGAGCGAGCAGCAACCAAGATCGCGCGGGAACGTGAAGAGAGTCTGCTCAAAGACCTCGATGCGGCAAACGACAAACTTAAGTGGTACGAGTCCGAATGCGCCAAGTTGAACTACCAAGTTGAGGACCTCAACAAGGTGATCATCGAATCGGGTGAGTTTGGCCTCAAAAATGATCAGGCAAAGGAACGACTTGAGCGAGAACTCAACACCGTGAGAAGCCGACTGGCCGCTTCGGAAAACGACAACCGCACCCTTCTCAACAAGCTGCAACAGAAGGGCCTCGAAATTGCACGATCCGCGTCGAGGGCCGGTGAGGCATCTCGAGCTCAACTCATCCAGGTACAACGGGAGAAGACCAGAGTGGAGGAACAAAATACCAAGCTCAACAAGCAACTGGGAGATTCTCAGGTGACTGTCGCCGGACTGGAAAAGAAGGTGGAGAAGTTGCAGCTCACGATCGAAGACCTGAACCACGAGCTTGCTAGGGAAACGCAAACCAGCCGCAATGCTGAGAAGCTGTCGTCGAACGTTACAGTTCAGCTGGCAGAGGCGAACAGGACCATTGAGTCTGAGCGGCAGTTGCGTACCCAAGCTCAAGGTACGGTCCGCACTCTTCAGTCCACCTTGGATTCGCGTGATAAGGAACTGATTGAGCTCCGGGCTCAGCTCCTGAACGCGCTGAAGACGGTGGATCCCGACACAGATGACAGTCATGTTCAAACCGAAGGTGCAAGTGCCAGTGAAAGGTTCCTCAGCAAGAACTTTGATCTTGTCCGGAAGATTGAAGACTTGCAGCAGAACCTTCGTGTCCAAACTACTGCACGCGCCAATGCCGAAGCCCAGCTAGCGGAACTGAGGACCAGCAGGAACGACTCTCCGACCAGGCTGCGGCTCGAGGAAATCAGTCCTAACGAGGCGCCTTTCACCGGATCACCGACGCAGAAGCGCAAGACCAACGGACGCCACTACTCCAATGCGTCCACTCCTCCTCCTCGTGAACGTCGTTTTACGAATAGCGACTCGGAGAACCTCAATGATTCGGTTCGTTCGGACCGCACTGCAGATATTGTTAGCTTCAATACTCGCATGGATCTGAAGGCCCGAGATTGAAGAGCTGCAAACCAGCTTCAGCTTGCACAGATGCAAAACCGCCATCTCCAAAGCCAGCTGGAGCGCACCGCGGGCGGCGAGGAGGACCCGTATCTCGACGAAAGCCCCCAGCTTCGGCGGGTGCAGAAGCTTGAAAAGGCCAATAACCGACTTCATGAACTGCTTGATGATTCCACCAAGAAAGTGTCGGCTTTGGAGAAGGCTCTTCGCACCGGTGAGCTGTCGCTTCGTGACATCCAGACCAGGTCTCATGAAGAGATCCTCGACTTGCTTAATAGCCAGGAGGACTCTCGACGCTCACTCTTGCACAGCCACAAGGATGCGGTTGCGGAGCTGACGGACCTCAAGGAGCACTATGACAAGGTGCGACACGAGCGTGCCAAGCTTGAAGTTGACCTTCGGGACGCCAGATCGGATCTCCAGGAGATGTCAATCGCCAGGGATCAGGAGGCCGCAAGCCGGAGCCAGTTACTCCAAGAGTTTGCGGACCTCCAGATTCGCCTGGATGCTGAGACATCCAAGCTGGCTGACGTAACAGCAAGCCTCCACCTCTATAAAGGTCGGGCGGATGAGTACTTCAGCAAGCTTGAACAGGCGGAGATTGCCGTCCTCAAGGCCAACCGGGCAGAGACATTTGCCAGGGCACAGGCGAAGGAAGCGGAGGACAGCTGCGCGGAGATGATGTCGGAGAGGAAGCGTCTGGATGCAATGATTGAGGATCTGCAACACTCGAACCAGAGACTGGAGGAGAAGATCGAGGACATGTCGACGGACCTTGCCGCTGTTACTCAGGCCAAGAAGAGGCTTCAGCACGAACTCGAAGATTACCGCAACCAGCGTGCTAATGATATTGAGGACAAGGAATCGAGCATGGAGCAGATGCGCAAGAAGTATCAGGCTGAGTTTGCGACGCTGGCCAACGAGCTTGACCGGGCCCGCGAGGAGAAGCTACGCAAGCAATCGGAGATTACGAGACTCCGGGAAGAGCTGGACGAGCTTCGGTCCAAGTGGGATGACGAGGTGCTCAACAGCTCGACCTGGTCTAAGGAGAAGGCGCGGCTTGAGGCAACTCTCTCAGACGTGGTGGCCTCTCGTGACGAGGCTGTCAGCGCCCACAATGAGGCTCAAAGCAAGATTGTCACGCTCCTTGGCCAGGTGCGGTCACTCCGCTCGTCCCTTGACGAGATCACGGCCGAGCGCGATGCCCTGTTCCGCGAGAAGAGGAGCATCGAGGCTAGGCTTGAAGAGGCCAAGGCTGGACTTGACGAGCTGGCCAACAGCGAGAGTCCATCGCTGCGCAACGCGGCGCACATGGACAGGGAGATACTGGAGCTCAAGTCCAGCCTTGCTCAACAGGAAGACATCGCTGCGGCTGCCGTGGAGAAGATGCGGCGGGCCGAGGCCCTTGCTGCCGAGGTTCAGAAGGACATTGCCGCTGAGCGCGAAAACAATGCCGATCTGCAGAAGCAGAAGGTCACTCTCGAGAAGAACTTTAACGAGCTGCAGATGAAGCTCATTGACCTTGAGACCAAGGGCTATTCGACTGCCAGCCATGATATCAAGTTCCTGCACAGCCGCATCAAGGAGGTAAGTTGTTCTCGACTATCCTTTCCCATGACATTAATAGCTAATATGTGATTACCAGCTTGAATCCCAGCTCGAAGAGCAAGAAAACGAGCGCAGCAAATCAGCGCGTTCCGTTCGCAACGTCGACCGCATCGTTAAGGACCTGCAGTCCCAGATCGACCGCAAGGACAAGCAGAACACGCAGCTCCAGGAGGACGTGGGGCGCATGCGCGACAAGGTTGACAAGCTTCTCAAGACCATTGACGAGCTGCAATCGTCCGAGAGCGCCAACGAGCTCTCGGCCCGTCGCGCCGAGCGCGAGCTACGCGAGGAAAAAGAAAAGGCGCTGAGGCTGGAGCGTGAGCTCGAGGGTTGGAAGAACCTCCGCATGGAGAAGGGTTCCGCTATGGGCGGCGGCGCGGGCAGCGTGGCGGGAAGCGTTTACGGCGGCAGTATCAGGGGCAAGAGGACGTTTACGAATGATATGATGCAGATGGATGGGGTGATTGAGATTCCGAAGAGGAAGAGCAGCATTAGTAGGGCGCCGAGTCTGACGAAGGGGTTTATTTGAGCGATGAAAAAGTTGTCGGAGTTGAGAAGGGAGGGAGGGGAAGTGTAATGAGGATGATTGATGGTTGGGGGTTTTGTCTACGTGATTCATAATTCTTTACCTTTGTACTAATCTTGTCCGAAGGCCGGCCGTCTGTTGGGGGAGCTGTGTACGGCGGAATTACCTCTGGATGGTTCTTTGTATACCTGTTGTAACTTTTTTTTTCTATCAGTCAATCGGTGTATATGATGAGAGTATTGTATGTTATGATGAAGGTTGCGCATGCGAAAAATGATGGAGGGACGGGGGGAAACCTGTCAGTGTCTTATCCTTTTGGGGGATCAATTTCGATTCAGGGACTTGTCGTCTGCTACACACGTAGATCTCGTCATACATAAATCGTTAAAGTCGCGGAGCACAGTCCGATCCAGGGATGAAACCCGATTCCGAGATTCTGGAAACGCGCATCCTGGTGCCCGTTGCCGTGTGTGTGCCTGCGTACGTGCCTGACGGTTAACGGGTCGGATGAGACGAGACGAAAAGGTAGGCTCCGTTGTAGTTCGCGATCAATTGGACCCTAGAAAAGGCCTGTTGTGACGGGCGGGCGGCTTTGAGGATCTCTGATCTCACTTACATTGTTCTGATGCGCGGGAGCGGGGGTTTCGATCTGCTTGCCTCTCTTCTAACGCGGATCGAATGAGGAGCACTGCAATTGCAAGGGTTGGGACAGATCGGACGGGCTGCCCTCCGTCCCCATCTGGTGGACTTTCCAGAGCCGCTCTAGCCAAAATCGGAGGCTTCCACTTGGTGTGGCCAGTGCGTTTCCATTAACAGCCCAGGTTCCAGCAAATCAAAGCCGCTGGTGATGCCCAGAAGGGAAAGGCAGGGCACCGCAGCAAACGCAAGCGGGCGGTTGAAGTCATCCCGCGTCTGGTCGCTTCGGACCATGGAAAGAAACGGGGCAAGGTCCCCCACTTTATGTTCAACTTGTTGGAGCTTGGGAGGTTGTGTCCGATTCAAAAGGTGATCTTGGCGGCAATGACATCGTGCGAAGAGAGCATTGATCGGTACTAAAGTTAACCGATCCACGACCTTTTTTTTCCTCCCAGATCGAACCAACCACCAAATGGAGACTTTTTTTGCATCGTTATGCCGTCTCCGCTTGCTACAATCATCGACCCACGGAATGGAGCAGGAAGGAAGGAATGCTGTTCGTTTATCAATTTTCCATGACAGCTGAATCGAATGGAGCGGGAAAGTAGGGGAGGGGAAGAGGTTGCTTGAGATGCGATGCGCCAGCGCTGTGACGGATGCCAGGAACAGCTTGTTGTGTGAACGAATCTTGGACGGTGGGAGAAACATCTAAATACAGACTGTGCGCATCATCACTCGTCTAGTCTTAAACTCACAAAGTCTTGGGTTTTGTTTCTCTCCGAACAGTTAAGTTGGGTCTGTCTGTACCTGTTGAAAGCTCCTGCCATCTGCTTAGCTCTTTGCTTTTTTTCTTTGTTGATCATCCCTCGGCGACTTGGCTACTTACTCGACTTTCTTGGAGGGAAAACTTCACCTACCTTGAAGGGTTCTCTCTTATCTTGTTCATCTTACCTTCTGTTCTCCAACTGCAAAGTTTGAATCTGTATACCCTCAAGACTCTTCAGATTTCCTCGACGTCTTGCGCAGAGAGAAGAGACGACGACAACGACAACGACAACGACAACGACAACAACAAAAGGCTTTTGGAGAAGGACACCATACACACATATATCATGGCTGAGATTCAAAGGCCACGAAGCGCCATTGTTGTTGGTATGTCTCTCTGCATTGAATCTGGGCTCTTTACTCTCAGAGCGTATACTAACATCTTTCCCAAACCAACAGGCGCAGGAGCAGGTGGTATCGCCATCGCAGCTCGTCTGGCCAAAGCCGGCGTAGACGTCACAGTCCTCGAAAAGAACGACTTCACAGGAGGCCGCTGCAGTCTCATCCACACAAAAGATGGCTATCGCTTCGACCAAGGCCCTTCACTACTCCTCCTACCGGGTCTCTTCCGCGAGACGTTCGAAGACTTAGGTACCACCCTCGAGAATGAAGGAGTCGAGCTTTTGCAATGTTTCCCTAACTACAACATCTGGTTCTCCGACGGCAAGCGGTTCTCGCCCACCACCGACACCGCCGGCATGAAGCTCGAGATCGAAAAGTGGGAAGGCCCAGACGGCTTCCGCCGCTACCTCTCGTGGATGGCCGAGGGCCACCAGCACTATGAGGCCAGCTTGCGACACGTCCTGCACCGCAACTTCAAGTCCATCTTTGAGCTGGCCGATCCCCGACTGGTCATCCGCTTGCTGTTGGCTCTTCACCCCTTTGAGAGCATCTGGCACCGCGCCGGGCGGTTCTTCAAGACGGACCGCATGCAGCGCGTGTTCACTTTTGCGACCATGTACATGGGTATGAGCCCCTTTGAGGCTCCAGCAACATACAGCCTGCTTCAGTACTCGGAGTTGGCCGAGGGTATCTGGTATCCACGCGGAGGCTTCCACAAGGTGTTGGAGGCGCTGGTGAACATTGGAGAGAGGATGGGCGTCAAGTACAGACTCGGCATGGGCGTGTCCAAGGTTCTCACGGATGGAGGCAAGAACGGAAAGAAGCCAAAGGCGACGGGTGTCCAGCTCGAGAACGGCGAGGTGCTCAACGCCGATTTGGTCGTGGTCAACGCCGACTTGGTCTATGCGTATAACAACCTCCTGCCAAATGAGATCGGCGGTATCGAACGGTATGCGAGCAAGCTCAACAACCGCAAAGCGTCGTGCAGTTCTATTTCCTTTTACTGGAGCTTGTCGGGCAAGGCACCAGAGCTGGAGACGCACAACATCTTTTTGGCGGAGGAGTACAAGGAGTCATTTGACGCCATCTTCGAGAGGCAAGCCCTACCTGACGATCCCAGCTTCGTAAGTTCTACACTCCTTTGTCTTTCCCTTCCTCTGTTTTAGTCCAACCACCCTCTAACCTCACCTCGCCCAAAACAGTACATCCACGTCCCCTCGCGCGTCGACCCCTCGGCCGCCCCTCCGAACCGCGACGCCATCATCGCCCTCGTCCCCGTCGGCCACCTTCTCCAAAATGGCCAACCAGAGCACGACTGGCCCACTCTCGTGTCCAAAGCCCGCGCCGGCGTCCTCGCCACCATCGAAGCCCGCACCGGCCTTTCCCTGGCCCCCCTAATCACCAACGAAATCGTCAACACCCCCTACACGTGGGAAACCAAGTTCAACCTCAGCAAGGGCGCCATCCTCGGCCTGGCGCACGACTTCTTCAACGTGCTCGCCTTCCGACCGCGTACCAAGGCCAAGGGTCTGGACAACGCTTACTTCGTCGGCGCTTCTACCCATCCCGGAACTGGCGTGCCGATTGTCCTTGCCGGAGCGAAGATTACGGCTGAGCAGATCCTCGAGGAGACGTTCCCCAGGGGCACAAGGGCGCCTTGGACGACGAATGAGGAGAGGAATAGTGGACGGATGCGGAGAGAGATGGATGAGAGGATCATGAAGGAGGGTGTCATTACCAGGGTTAATAGTAATAAGCCGGGCAGCGGCAGAAGGGGTAGTGATGCTTTCGAGAGCGCCATGGAGGTGGTTAATCTGCTGTGGCAGAGGGCGTTGCCGTTGTTGGTGGCGCTGGCTGGGGTGCTGTATTTCTTGTTGTTTGTGCGGTAGGTGTTTACTGGTTGATGGGATGATTGGATTTCACTTTTTTGATGAGCGAGCGACTGCGCTTTTTGGGTATCTTATTTTTTTGGTGGGTTCTTGGTTACGGATATTTTACTTGGGTATGAATGATTTCGTATATAAAGTCTTCGGGATACATGGTGGTTTTTCAATGAATTGGAACAAATCTCTACTTATTTCGTTCGTCTTATCCAAGATTTTCCAGTTTCTAGTGGCGGCTGTAAGATACACCCCAAGTCAACACCTATCAACAACCCATTACAAGAGTCAGTTAGCATGGTCGAGCGGTGTGGCAATCAAAGCTAACCAGAACTTCGCTCGCAACATCAAAACTACAATGCTATTGTCCAGAGTGTATGTAATAAAACAATACAGAAGTCCTTGCTCCCGTTGTGGTCGTCGCGGTATACGAGTACCTCTACTAGACTAGCAACTTGTGATGAATGCAACAATATCTGATCCTTCTCCTTTCTTTCCTTCTTTCCTTCCCCCCTTTCAGACATTCCATCATCTTCAACTGTCCTCCCATCCCGAGCTCGCCATGGAATTCTCATTCCTTCCCAATATCTATGCATCCATCCAACAAAACTCATTGCAAAAAGGGGTTTATTACAGAAGTGAAACTAGGAAGCAACGCAGCGCAACCCCAACCAAGCCATAACATACTCGCTCTTAAGCATGCGTCCCCTGTCTCAATGCTGACAAGACAGGACTCTGTTCTTTCCGCTACTTATCCAATACTCCTCACAATGTCACGCCCCATCTGCGTCCTAGATGGGACTCCGTTGAACCATGTATACATGATCAGTCATCATCATCAAAGATCTGATACGTATTCTGCAAGATGGTATCCACCACGCGAACCTGCCACCCGGCATCCGCAATGTTGGCACCGGGACCAGCAGTGCCCAGCAGCGTCGGCCCAAAAACGATGGCCAAATTCTGCGAGGTCATCCGGTTGACGCTCGAGTTGTCGATGACGCGTTTCAGGTGCAGAGTCAAGGCGCGGAGGGTGGCGTAGTTGGGATCGGGAAGGCTGTTGATGATGGCGTGGAGGGAGTCACGGCGCACTGTTTCGTCTTCGTTTTCTGTAGGGGACGAGCGTATTAGTGTATTGGACTTTGACTACTGGACAGAGGAGAGATTGCTTACTGGCTGCCTCGATAAACGACGCGTAGTGCTCCTTAGTCAACAACGGGTCGGGGAGATCGCGGAAGAACTGCTTCAACAGGCCGGCTACACTGTTGACGTCGTGGAAGAAGTTTTCGGGGTTGCGGAAGTCGAGATTGCTGGAACCAGAATCTGGACATTTCTCGTTAGCCTTGGTTCAACGTCAAACAAGGCGCGCCAGGTTGTATCACATACCTGTGTCAAAGAGAGTCTTGAGCTTGTTCACATGGGGCACGGAGCCAGAAAGTCGGTATATGCCTTCGAGGCCAAGGCCGAAGAGGTCCACAGCCTGGATGCACTGATAAACAACCATGGGAACCGCCAGCCCATCTCTCTCATATAACCTGGATAGCGACACACCAAACACTGGCCGCGTAGGCTGAGCCATTGGCGGTGTCGACTGTCTGCCCTGTGCAGGACCGGCAGGATATCCCTGCTGGCTTGGATTTGGTAGTGGCGCTGGGGATTGCGGAGGAGGTTGACTGAATGGCGGTGGTTGTGGTGGTTGTTGTTGTGGTGGCGGCTGAGATGGCTGTTGCGGTGGTTGTTGGGTTGGGGCTGGTGGTGATTGAGCCTGGGAGTATTGGAATGGTAGCGCTCCCAGTTGTGGAGGGCCCGAGGATGAGATCGATCCAATGGCGCCATTGTACCTGGAGCTTGCGGCCTGGGCCTGTTGGGTCGCCGCACCCCGAGAATCGCCATACTGAGGGTTAAAAGGGGTGCTCATCTGATTAAGGATATTTCCGTGGCTAAAGCTACGTTCATGCGAAGGCTGTGATTCCGACTGCTGAGCAGATGCCATCATCGGAATCGAGGAAGAGCTTTGGCCGTAGTGATGGCCCAGAGGCGCACTGGGAGTATCGTTCAAAGGTCCTGTCCTTGAGTTCATCGACCCATATTCTCGGGAATGCGAGGGTGCTGTTGGTTGACTGCCACCCGGTGGCACATATGGAGTGGTAGTAGTGCGATTTGCCGGATCCAGGAGCTAGCAGAGGAGTTAGTTAACTTGATGACCATGACATTATGACAAGATTTATGCGATAACAGCTTACAACGTTCTTTTCATATTTAGGCTCCCCCGTCCTCGGAGGTAGTCGCGGATACTGGTTGAGAAGATACTCATCCAGGTCCTTGTCATTATTGATGGCCTGTACGCACTCGCGCAAACTGCGTGCTTCCGGTCCATTTTTCAGAGGGCTGATACTCAAGCCGTTACTAAGCAAGAGCTTCTCATTAAAGGATGCTGCCGGTCACATCATCAGCATCATGCCGTGGGAAGAGAAACAATATTAAAACACTCACCGAACTTTTGCATTTGCAAGACAACACCTGCGTCACACTCTCTAACAATCTCTTGAAGGGCCCTGATGGTGTCCGGCCGTATCTTGTTGAGCAGCTCTCCGCGTTCCTGCTGTACGGTGTTCACCTTGGCCTGGTAATCCTGATCCGCGGCCTGGGCCTTTCGCAAGAGGTCTTCTTCATGCTGGGCAGCTGACTTGGGGCCCTTGAAGCCGAACATTTTGCCTTTTTGTTGACCAGTCGTGTCGCCGGTGCGGGCTCGGTCGTACTCTTCGGCCAAGGCATCGTACTTGGACTTGGACTTGCGCATAGCGGCCTCGAGGTCGGCCACTCGTTGTTCGGCCGTCAGTCCACTTTGCTTCCATCCTTTCCTGGATTTCTCGGCAATCCCAGCAAGCTCCAATAGGTCCTCGTGCATCTGGTGGAGGGACATGGCGAATTGGGTTCCGTTTTCGGCCATGCGCTCGTGGATCGTCATCATGTCTTCGTAGGCTTTGGCGAAGGTTCCGCCCCTGTGTTCCGAGCGGGATGAGCTCTCGTGGGATGCTTTGCAGAGTTTTCGGAGGCCGTTCGCATGTTCGTCTTCGAGTACTGAGCGCTTTTTGAGGAAGGTCGCGAATTCCTATATGGAGACCCCATTAGACTGCTGTGTCTGGCCCAATTGGCAGGTAGAGATTCGATCATATGGTCGTCGTAGTAGTCGGGATTCGAGGGGCTCGTACCTTGGCGGACGCAATGCTCTGTTTCAATCGGTTGAGCATCGTCGCAATGCCAATCTGTCTCCGGAACCTACAGGTTAGCAACTAGATCGGCGTCGTGGGAGGTGACTCGTCCGGTCCGGTCCGTACGCACCTCTGAGGAAAGCACATCTTGAACATGCGACTTGGTCTCATCGTTGGGTGTTGGCGCTGTAGGCGGGCCAGGCGCTGCTGCCGTCACCGGGCTGCCGCTGTCTGGTGTCGGTGATGCTGCTGGCGCAGATGCATCTCCTAAAGACATTGCGAATATGTTGTCGCCCTCACAGGCAACAGGCACCTCGGGGTGTGTGTTGGGTCGCTGGGCACAGATTGGGTGGTGATGGGAGTGGCGTGTCTATGTCGGGGAGGAGATGTCAAAATGCTAATCGCAAATAACTTTTTCTGCTATGTTAGACAAGATGCAAGAATTGCGCATTAAGGGTCGGGGTCGTGGTCTGGTCGGGGTCAGGAGGAGTACGGAGGGATCATGAGCGCGGGTTAAGCTAAACGTTCCGTCGTTGGCCCGATGATTGGAGGGTAGGCGAGTGTTTGGGTGCCCGATGGGGGTGGAACACGGGAAATGGATCATCCCCATCCCCCTGGCGTTGGCGGCGGCGGCGACGGCGGCTGTACCGCTGCACCTCATTTAATTCTCCAGAATCCACTCTAGAACCACTTCCGTGCTAGGCGGCAGGGGAAGCTCACAAGGTTCTGACAGGGACCAGGACCGCCTGAGCTGCAGGTGCAATGGTGCACTGTCGAGCTGCTGCTGCTTCATCTTCAGTGGGCTCCACTACTATCAATGACGCCCCACCTCGCGTGCCGTTAACCTGCCGTGAACGTGCCGCCCATGCTAGGATGAAGGTGCAGTGAGGTACGACCGAGAAATGGAGGAGGGTCATGATGCCCTCTTGCTCTGGGCCTAAGCTACCATCCTCTTCCACTACAACACTTTAACTCCCAACTTGACTTTGTCAACTGAAGCATCACAGGTGTGCAACACCAAATTGGATGATCCGTCTGGTCACCCACACTAGATATTCCATGTCCGGATTCTGTCGATACGCCAACACAACAATTTTATTCTCGTATTCAGTACATGTTTGACACAGAACGTCTTGTTGGTGCGCATCTTTCACAGCATGAGTCGGTAGCAAGGGACCTATCGTCCTTCTTCTCTTCTTAATTCATTCAAACCGACAGCACCTTATCACGGCGGAATGGGAAAACGAAGTCAGGCACCATTCATGATACCAAAAGGGCAGCAGCGCAATAACGTCGCACGTTTTCAGCATGCTTCGTTCCTACCTCTACCAATACCGTGACCGGGTCGAGGCTTGCCTGAGCGCAACGGGAGGAAGGCCTAAGTGATGGGCGGACCAACAATCTTTAAATTGAGTGGCAGACCATCGACACCCGGTCTTACTATATAACTTAAGAGGGCTTACTTTCTGGTACCCATGCTGGCGATCAATCACGCCCCACGGAATATGCCTCGAAATACAACTCGTCATCCCTTGCTTTACGGCGATACCCGTTATTTCGATGGTCGGTTTGGGCGTATTCTCGGCCTTGGCATCGAGCAGACACTTTGGCGTGTGGTAGAGAACCTCAACCCGACTGACACTGGATGATATCTCTCAGAACATGGCTACCTCGAGAGCTATATGGCAACCCGGATCGTCTATTCTACGTCCTGGAAACCGCTCAAAACCAGGTTTACTGACAATCTTCCATGCTCCTTGGATCGACTTTTCCTCTGCAGCTCGATCTCAGTATCTAAAACACCACGATTCGGTCTCGTCTTTCCCGCCTACTTCTGTTCCACAACGTCGAAAAAGGCGAGTCCCATGACGCCGGTGCTCCTGCGCTTCGTCTAGCTAAGACTCCAACGTCTGCAAGAGACCGTGGATTGGCACTCCCCTGCATCATTAGGCAAAGCAATCCAAGATATGGCCTTTGCCATGTCCATTCCACAGCAGACATTGGCTTGTCAACAGTTCGATGAAAGCTTCTCCCGCCATTCAACAAGACGGGCTGCTGCATCAAGCATGCCTCTCTGAACGGACAACATGCGATAGGCGCATGGCAGCAGTCGGGTACATGCATTCGTTCGATTCCCATAAACGAGACCATAGGACAGATCACACTTTCCGGTGGTGTCTCGCACTCTAACCGCACGACACCAGATGGAAGATGGAAGAGAGAGAAAAGCACGAAGGTGAATTTGTAGACTTTTTGGTTCGTAAGTTAAGCTCGCATCAATGCTCCATGCCAAGTTCACCCATGAAACTCCCTAAAAGCAACCGAATATGGTATTTTCCAAAACTTATAAAATGACCCGTCCAACCTTAGATGAGGCCCTTGAAGATGGCAGCCTCAGCATTAAGGATGGAGGAACCAGCAGCTCCAATAACAGCTACGGACAGGTATCAGCGCAAGATCTCGAGACACGTTCAGGGCAAAAGGCAACTTACTGTTGTGGCTCAAGGCAACAAACTTGATATCAAAGATGCCGCTGTCGTCCTCTCTGACCCGACCAACGCTGACAGTGTATCCCTTGCAGAGATCACGGTCAAGACGGGGCTGGGGCCTGTCGGCCTCGTCAAAGACCTTGATAGGGGGCTTGGGGGCCGAGGGACATCCCAGATTTTGAGCATCAGAAACGTAGCTGCGCAGGGCGTCTTTGACCTCCTCGGCAGACGGGGGCGGGCGTTGGGCGAAACGCAGCGAGACGCAGGCGGTGTGGCCGTCCAAGACAGGAACACGGTTGCAGGCTGCCGACACCCGGAGCTCCTTCTGGTCCTCGAACGCAGTGGCGTCGGCATTGAGAGAACCCAGGATCTTCTGGGCCTCGGTCTCCAGCTTGTCCTCCTCGCCCGAAATGAAGGGCACGACGTTATCAATGATGTCCATGCTGCTGACACCAGGGTATCCAGCACCCGAGACAGCCTGCATGGTAACGACGGATACGTTATCGATCTTGCCGAAACGCGCCTGGAGGGCGGCAAAGGGGGCGACGAGGCCGATGACGGCGCAGTTGCTGTTGCATACCAGGAAGCCCTTGTCGAGGCCGAGGATCTTGCGCTGGTGGGGGATCAGGTCGAGATGGTTGAGGTTGACGGTCGGGACGACGAGGGGCACGAGCGGGTCGCGTCTGTAGTTCTTTGCGTTGGAGAAGACGGCAATGTTGGCGTGCTGGAACTCCTTCTCGACATCGCCGGCGACATCGCTGTCGAGGCCGCTGAAGACAATGTCGCAGTCGGCAAACTCGCTGGCCTTGCACTCGCGGACGACTAGGTCACCGAACTCGGGGGAGATGGGGGTGGATTGCTTCCAGCGGACGGCATCGCGGTACTTCTTGCCAGCGGAGCGGGAGGAGGCGCCGACAGCGACGAGCTTCAGGACGGGGTGGTTCTGGAGCAGCAAGATGAAGCGCTGGCCGACGGAGCCGGTGCAGCCCAAGACACCTGCGGGACGTCATGGGAACGGTTAGTGCTCGGGCCGGTATAGTATTATTTGGCGTGTGTGATTCGGAGAGCCGGAGCCGGGCATGGGTCTGTCCGGTCAGGAGACGGGGGACACATGCTGAACACATGCTGCTGAAGTGCCCCTTGGGGAACCTTAAAAGGTGGGGTGTCGTAGAGACTCACCAACGTTTCTGGTAGGGAATTGAGACATGATGACGAGCTGTGCTGGGAAAGTGAACCAAGAGGACAAAGTGATTCAAAAGAAATGGATTCTCTCTCAAGTTGTTGGGCAGGAAAATGGTTCAGATACAGTAGGAAGGTGAGTCAATGGCGCTCTTTCCTCCCAGACAAGAGGCGGGATCTGCTCCGCAACTTTTTCTCTCATTGCCTCTCACAAATGAGTCGCCAGCGGCTCGGCGCCCCGCCACAGGGTTCCCCAAGTCTCCGGCGATCGGAGCGGTGATGCACTCGTTGTGGGGCCAGACACGGGAGCTCCAAGCGTGGAATTTGGGGGACTTGTCAGCACACTTTTGTCGCTTTCAGTGACAGGAACAGGGCCGGGCCAGACAGCGTCCGTGGAGGTGTCCAGGGGCATTAGGGTCGGATGCTCGCAAGACAGGGTGTTCCCAGGGCTGCATCTTAGCTCCTAACGCTGGAGGGTTGCCGTCAGCGGTCGGGCTGGTCCGACTTTGGAGCCTTTGGTGGAGGCGGCCCTGTCCCACTCTGGGGAGTAACCTCCGGGGAGTCCTCTCCTCCGTACTGGTACGGTATGGTACGTATCGCTGGATGGTAGGGCTGGAACCCGTTAGACCCGTCCACATTTACGGGTCACGGACTGTTCCGTTCCTGTTCCCCTCATTCATTCTCTTCACACCAACTGCAGCAAAAACATTTTCTCTCCCCCTGATCTTCATCTCAACATCAACACATCCGGTTCAGGAGCATCGAGTCGTACATCGTTCGTGCAGTGCGCCGCACATACAGCTTCACCGCAGCAACAAGCTCTTCTGGATTGCTCACTTTCTAGAATGTGTGCTGCATCTGTTCGACGTTGCACACAATCCTTGGCCGTCACCATGACCGGCTTTAACACGACGTCGTTTACAGGTCAGCATCAAGAGAAAAAAAACGGGAGAAAGAAAGCACAACATCAACGTCACCCGTCGTGATCACAACCCAACCACGCTTGGGCAAGGGCTTTATACAGGCAATCCCTGTGATCTCACGATAGAGTCAACACTCCCCGCCTATTGTCGAGCTACCCTGCCACTCTTAAGTCGCTTGTCAGTGTCCGCTCCAAATCCAGCACAGCACCCGCAGCCAACGATGGTCTTCTGGTGGCTTACCAGATGTGGAGAGGGGAAAACATGATGATTTCCTGGATATGATGCATGGGGTGAGCAAATGCCACATGGGGTTGGCCTGGAATTGAGCCCCAGATTGTTGGGATATTTCCCCACCACGTTCGATACGTACGGGATCTCCCATGCTTGTCACCCAGCCCTACATACATACCCCCCATCATTTGCCTGGTCGAGCAGTGAACAAGCCGACTGAGAGCTCAAAGAAATACGACGGATGCCTTACCAGGTCACCATCCTTGAAGAACACCAAGTTTGGCACGATGCCATGTCGCCTACTCTCTACGTCCGAAACATGGGCATGGGATCATATCAAGCTCTTTGTTTGTTTGACAGACGAGTGTCACGGAGACTACCTGTCCAGCCCACGGCACTGAGATTCCCCCCCGTCAAGCGGCTGGGTACCACCTCTCTATCGCACCATGTCCGGAGATCACGTCCACGATGCCTGTCCCATTGGGAACAGATGCAGTCTTGGCAGTTCCCAATACTCCAACCATTGGAGGAAGCCCAGTGACGCAACCCGTTCTATAAACGAAGGGAAGCGAGCGGACGACAGCTGCCACTGACTTTGTCACGTAACGCGCCTCGACGCCTTGTTGGACCAAAGTCGGGAGGATGGCTTGCCATGGCGCAAATACTAGTTAGCCGCTTGGCTGAAAAGAGTCAGATAATCTTTCCCCTCTCTTCAGCTTTGCCCACTGTTCTATTTATGATAAAGTTATCACTTTCGAATCCCCGGTTTAGTTGCTCTTCATCAGCCGGTCACAAAAGACTGACTGCCACTTCCCGTTCTTCTTCCTCTCTTTTGGCCCAAGTCATTGTAAGTCCTAGACTTAGTCAGGGTAGAGCTCTCAGCCGTAAAATCTTACCTGCTTACTCGTGTCAAGTTCTCATCGTTTCTTCCCTTCTTCTTTCTGGACTTTCTTCACCACCACCACCACCACCAATCATTGAGCTGAAAGAAACACAATTCGACGCCCTCCCTCTTCAGCCCTTCAGCCGCTTTGATCGGTCATAAGCTTCAAGCGCCCTAATTGCCTCGGTTGTTAACGACCGTTGACCCATGAAGATCACTTACATAACTCCAAACTCCACTGCTACCTTACCCACACAGCAACAGTCCGAGTGATCGGATCCAAACTTACCTGATTTGTTCAAGAAACCTGCTCGGATAACTTGGTTCCAACGTTCTCGGCAGATGGGTATTAAAGACAAGACCTCTAAGCAACGACTTCAGACAATCGGGCACTTGTAATTGCCATCTGAGTTTGTCTCTTCGCACAGCAACTTCCAGGTTGGACGCCATTATCTACCACCAAAAGTCAAAGAGAAGCCTGCAATCATGGATAACTCTATAACAACAGACGATTTCTCTTGGTCGCTTGTCGACACTATCAAGCAATCGCCACCCATCGATGTCACAGCTCCTTACGATACCAAGTTTCTTGCAGGCAAGACCATCCTCATAACCGGCGGGGCATCCGGCTTCGGTGCCGCCTTCGCTCGCAAGTGGGCCAAACACGGCTCCCATATCATCATCGGCGATGTCAACGACTCTACCGGCGAGGAGCTCATCGCTGAGCTCCGCTCCCTCCCCGGCTCCTCCAAGCATCACTACTTCCAGCACTGCGACGTGACCAAATGGGAAGACCAAGTCTCCCTCTTCAAGATGGCCGCCCGCGCCAGT